GGTTCGTTAACTGTCTGATGGTTGTGACTTGTGAGTGACGTCACATCCAATCGCCAAATGAAGAGGGTATAAATTCCCAGATAGTTAATTTCTCTGATTATTCTTGTGTTAGCATCGAAATAAGTAGAAACTCTGCCAGTTTGTACAGTGATCATTAATAAACTAATAGTTGCATAAAGTGCGTACGTGTTTGTTTTACCTATGTCGTTTTAAAATACAAAACCTTAAAACGTAAGTAGGGACGAACCCGAGCGAAGCGAGGGTGAGTCGCTAATTACAACATAAGTATTTTAAAGCACTGAATAACCTTAACTATATTTTATTGTTATTTGATATTCCCTGTCTTTGGGGTACTTTTTAATTAATATATATTGCAAGATTACTGTAATTGACATCAAGTGTTTATTTCTTGATATATCTATGTGGAAAATTACATTGATTGCATTGATATGATATCCTATAAATCTTCAAAATATAACATAATACTTTCTTAGATTTACGCGATTATTTGACATCTATACATATAATAAAATTCTAACTAAGTCGAATCTGTACATTAAGTATTTTTTGGAAAATCTAATTGAAATAGACATTATTATCGATACAGAGTCCGCATCTATAGTTTTTAGAATTTCTGTCTGTGTCTGTTTGTCTGTTACCGCATCACAAGAAAACCACTGGACAGATTTTGATGAAATTTGGTATGTTGATAGCTGGTTATCCGGGTCAACATATAGGATACTTTTTACCGCGGGAGAATATCTCATTTCTCAGAAAAAATACAAAAACTGCATTGTAAGAGTAGACTAATATGTAAACCTAAGAATATGGTTTTTGGTCTCGAATCATTCTAGGAAGCCATACAAATTAAAAAAAACATCCAAATTCAATAGGGAAGATGGCTGGGTACTACCACCGTCATGGGATCCTGTTATTAATATAATAAAATCAAATAATAAATCTAAACATAACAAACAAGTAGATGTAGTAAGTTCTTACTGTGTAGATCAAAATGATAGCAATTCAGATTAATATTTTTCATTTTTCATTTGTAAAAGTATATAATAATAGTGTTGCTTAGTAAATTGTCTTTTTAAATAATAGCAAACTATTAAATAAAACTATCTTTTTGGATTATTTCGCGGATTTATTTTGATTTTTGGTTCCCGACGTTTCGAATGCTTTACAGCATCCATGGTCACGGGAGAGACTGAGGTGTTACATGTCTTGAATGTATAGTTGTTACAGACAGCCTACCGTTGTTAAAGACAGACTGGCATGACTTTGACATTTTACATTTCTTCATAGTTCTTCATAGTAGTAAAAGGCAGTGGTAGCCCAGTGGTAACGCGCTCGCTTGGGACACCGAGTGAAGCGGGTTCAAATCCCGGGTCTCGCAACTCTGATACTTTCATGTGCGAATCATTTCTAACATGATTACTGCTTGCCTTACGGTGAAGGAAAACATCGTGAGGAAACCTGCATGTCTGAGATAACCTAGCAAGTTTTCGAGAGACATGTGAAGTCCGCCAACCCGCACTTGGCCAGCGAGGTGGACTATGGCCTGATCCCCCTCGTATTGAAGGGAGGCCCGTGCCCAGCATTGGGACGTTAAAAAGGGCCGAATACATACATACATACATAGTTGTCCGGTGGCTCTAGAAATAGAGGAAACGGAAGTTATAACCTGTGATTCAATACACTGCTCTAATCTCTACTAGATATCAGTATTTAATAATTATCACTTTTTTTTTAATATTAATTTAAAATTTCTTATCAGATGTTATTAAATAAGAAATTTGTTTGACCCTAATGCCATCCAATCAACCTATATACTATATTCTTTTCGATTTTTTTATAGTCACATCCCATGGCTGCATGTATTTTATCATAATTTGCTCATTTATCTCTCTTCTACAACATCGTTTCTAAAATATTCACCTTTTAGATGCATGTCATACTTTCACTGTAAGTTAAGAGAAATTTACAAACTGTAAACAGAGCAGCAAAGCAAAATAGTTCCACATAAATAATAGGTGCAACTCAGGTGCTATCCTCTATGATTTGTATTACCATATTTTCATACAAATTTCTAGCTCCTGTTCCGTGGGGAACAATTTAATTTCTAAATAAGTTGGTAATTGTTGCAATTCAAGTGGCAAAGTATTCCAAGAAATAGGTAAAACATGACGACAAAAAGACAAATATTTCACAAATAGATCTTTTGGACAATATTTAGATTAGTCTGTATACATCTATATTATAATAATACATATTTACAAGGGACCTAACCTTGCTTTCCTAAGTGTCTAACAGCAGCCGATTAAGCAACTCAACAGCCATCTTTTTTCTGACTCAAATGAAGTAATCTTTGTTTTTCATACTAAACTTATTATTTTTATCGGAATAAAAAAATAGCCTATACTACTCAGAGGTAATGTAGCTTACTATTTGTGAAAAAAAAACAATCGGGTCAATGGTTTCAGAGATTATACCTATTTATAAAATTACAAATTTTACCTCTATGGTATTAGTGTAGATTTGTATTTTTAGTTTTGGATGAACTATTTGTATATTTATTATATATTTAAATTCCCTTATTAGTGAAGTGCCTGGAGCGCTAAAAACATGAAAACCTCGGATTTCAGTTACAGTAAATGAAATTTAATAATTCAAACAGTTATGCTTAGGCCATAATATATATAAAAAAAGTTTATTAAAATTAATACAATATTGCACAAACAGCTCTAGTTTACCTCTCCTTTTTTTATAGTTTTTTACCTGTTGACCCTACTGAAAAATAATCTTTGATTATTTTGCATTAAAGTCGTTTTTTCCTTGATCCTGATTTAATTTCGTAAATTGTTAGAATTTTCCACCTGGTCTCTTTGTTGTGTCATTTTTTCTTGACTTTATGATGCTTTCTGTAACTTTTATATACCGATGGATAGCTAACGATACGTAGATATTTTTAAAATGATCGGCAGGATAAGTGTCCTAGGGATTTACAGAAAATTTGCAAGTTATTCAAAGAATTAAAATTAAAAAATCTAAAGTTGTACAAGTTTGGAGCTCTAATTTAAAAATGCTTGAAGATTGTTTTGTTTTGTTACTGGTTATTATCAACAAGTATGTGCACCAGCAAGAAATAAAAATATATATGATGAAATACATTGTTATTTTTTTTAAATAAATTTTTAAAGTCGCAATCCCCCCTATACCTGTAAAAAAAGAAAAACTACATACCTTTTTGCAGTTATAAAATAACATTTGCAATAAAGTATCTGGAGCTAGTAATTCATTGATTGTTATTGAGAATAGCATGTTATTGAAATACTACCAGCCCCAATTTTCAATATCTACATTTCCTAGCCATATCTGGATTTGCAGTTATACTCTTTTTATGTGTTCAAACACTGCATCAGCTATTGGAGGTAATGATGACAAAAGAACACATGTATTTTTGGCCGTTGTGTTTATAAAGGCATTGAATCTAAATGGGTTAAAATCTTTAATGATTGCTGAAGCTCTATTCCATTCCTACTGGAGGTCCATATAAACGCAAAACTCATCTTCATCACCATCGTCGACTCGTCGGAGTCTTCGTTACTAACTACTAAATACTTTTGCTGATTCGTGTAAATTCATGACGTTTTCCAAAATTTTTGGCAAACTTATGTTTACCTTTGTTGAAAAACGCTAATGTAGTAAAGGCTGTAAAAAAAAAATAAACCTTTACAGATTGGAAACGATTATTCTAAAATTTTCGAGAAATAATTTTATATCGAACTTTGCCTCGAGATGGTTTTAGAAAATATATAATATTGCTGTATCATATAATATTGCTATATTAAGAATTAATTTGTCATCATCGCTTTCAGTTTCGCATGTAAAAATATTTTTGTCACTTAATTTAATTATTAACATTTATATCAAGCTGCTTTTATTTTTATTATTCGTCTAAAAATTATCGCAAGCTTTTTTCAATTTTTCAAAGGCATATTTTCATCAAATTCAATATCTACATATCTATTTTTCAACGACGACGATTCCTTTCAGCTGATTTAATTCTGTTTTTCTTATACATATCAATTACCAAGTGTTTACTACTACTACTACCTATTCAAGATCGCTATGACTCTTAATAAACTCGAGTATCTTTAAAATATGTTATTTTTGAAGTTATACTTCTTTTGGCACGTTTAGAAATAATAATGAGAGTAGCACACTAACAGCCAAAAAGCAGCATGATGAAGTTAGCTGCATTCCTTTTACAAATAGAGTTGTGACATACGGGATGAAATCTATAGCTATTTTTGTTCTGCTACGCCAAAGAAGTATAACTTTTTACGTGCGTGGTAAAATTCGACGTATACATAATAAGAAAAAATAAGTAAAGAAAGTCTGAGGTCAAAACCCCCAGGCGCTCCACTCCACACATATAAGTTTTGTGGATTATCAGAGTTTGAAACGATAATTATCATCGATAATTATCTTTGATAAATATATTCCAAAGTATTTAATTTGCAACTCTTGAAATTGTCGATCAGCAAACTGAACCCTCTGAATCAGCTTAAAAACTCAATCAGCAAACTGAACTGAGGATGGGGATCATATTTCACTCATTAATTTAATTAAGTAATGCCTTTGTAGTTGGTTAAATTTATTCTTTTTTTGTTTATAAGTTTTGTATGTCAAAATAATAAAAAAAGTTAATAAAAGATTACCTTGATTGTTAAAAGTGTATAATTAATTCTAACTTAAATTATGATAGACAAGTATTCAAATATCAACACCTACACAAGGATTGCTAATTTTATATCTGTTTGATAATTATCGCGATAATTATCAATAGACACATTTATCTTGATAATTTTATTCTCTGCTTTTTATACGTAGGTAGGTGCCTACTAGGTGTCTCAAAAGAGAGTTACTTCTGCTCAGACAATCGACAAAAATAGCTCTAAAAATGGTTGATGTGTATTTTTTTTTTATTAGAAATGAACCGTGGTGGGCGGGTGGAGCCTACTCCGCCCGAGTGTGCGCTCGCCGCCGAAATGTTTGACCACTTCTGTTCGGCGGGTACTATGAAACAAATCTTAGCTCTTCATCGGGAAATTTGTAATACGCTCAACTTAAAACCCAACAGATTACCAGATTTTTATCCAAAATTAAAGGTAAGACTTTTATTCTCTAGACGGCTCTAATGTACCTATAATATCTATATTTTTGTGGGTAGTCATACATAAAAAAATGAATTTATTAACGATTGTATTTTACACTATCATCAACTTAAAATAATTGTACTATTCAATGGAAATAGCACGTGTACCTATTGATTTTATAGAAATGCATTGATTTTATAGAAAATACAGTCATGGACATTTTAAATAATATTTTTATATAAAATTAAAATATATAACAAGGATATTATCGATATTATTATAAGTTAGAGGAATCAATACTTCTTTACATACATATAATTTACAAAGTTCATTGAAGCCTTACAGACTTGTCTTTTCAAAGTTTAATAATAATTGGCAGAGTGCCTTAAATAATAAGCGGATGTAATTATATGTACATATAATATACTGAGGATGGAACAGACCAGTAGTTATGTAAAACAACAAGATTCGAAGAATCCATTCAAATCCATCGCTCCTGTAGTGATGAGTACACATTTATAAATATCTAGCGTGATCTCAATCTGTTCTTTAAAAGTATTATTATTTTACTATAAATTATTATAATCAGGTGGACTTTTATTTTAACCATTTATTAACGTAACATATTTATAGCTAAATATATATGCGTAATTTCCGATCGACTGCACCAAATTGGATAATCTTTTTTTTTGTGTTTGTTACTGTCAGGACAAGTTTTGTATAGAAGAAAATTAAAAGAAAAAAAAAATTAAAGAGTGCGTGTATGGATGTGTAACACGCGCAAGAAGTAAAACTTTTGTAGGTTATCGGTACTCTTTATGAAATTCAATTTATGTTTTAAATAATTAGGATAGGTGAGCGATTATATATCATTTATCAAACAATAACAACGGCTACCATGGCAATAAACGTACGTACATTTTTCGTAACGCATTCACCAGGGCTGAAGCCTTTGAAAATGGTAAAAAGTGAAATAAATATCATAGTAGGATGAAATCCATTGGAAAAGGAAGAGAATATAACAAAAATGAAAGGAAAAATAATTTACGGGCGATCTGAGGTCGGGAAGTGGGAGGGGGTGAGTTTTTAAGGGAGAAAAACGGCTTATCTCGATTTCCGGCAAAACTACAAGTCCTATGGAAAAAAGTTAAATGGCAAAGTTGCAAGTAATAAAAAGATCTACAACTTTTGTATTTACACTTCTTTCACAATACCTAAAAATTTATGTGAAAAATTCAAATAACCAAGTTTTGATTTTATTTTTATCTTTTACAAAAAAAAAATCATTTCACGGATTTAGGTGAAAACTTACTTACCTTTTTATGTCCTTAACATACTGTATTTTTTTTAATTTAAATATTTATTTTTTCACCTTATTTTGAATTAACGATATTAAGTACCCTAATTTTCAATCGAAAATTCTCGCGTCAAAATATCTGCTTTATATAAATTATAAAGCCGGTGGGCTTTTTGTTCGTTGAAATCTGTGCTTTCTGATGGTGTAAAAAAATACACATTACTATGGTAAATTTTCCGAGAAAATGCAATTAATATAGATAATATTTAATAAGACATCTACAATATTTTGAGAAAGTTGTAGATTTTTTTTAAATTATACGCGTAGATGCCTATTTATTGCTATTTTAAAATAACTTATATACCTACGGAAAATTTTAGCCCATCAAAAGGTATTTCATAGAGAAGTAGGGAAGGGGCTAGGAGGGTCTGGCCTATACTTTTTGCATTTAATTCTAGGTCAACCGGAAGTACATAGGACTATGGTATAGGAAGAAAATAGGACTATAGGAAGTTTTGCGTCGAAAACCTATATTGTAGTTCCCGATGACGTAGAATCACGAAATTTGGCAAACAAAGAAATCTTACAGCATAAATAAAGGAATAATTCCTAAAAATAAAAAACGTTGAAAATTAAAATTAAACAGATTTCGTACAAATTTGTACGGAACCCTCGGTGGACGAGTCCCACTCGCACTTGTCTGGAATTTTTAATAATAAATACTATGAAAATCAGCCGGTTATTAATAAATTTTATGACGATGTACAAGTTCGGAGAGGGGGACTATTTGATCCAAACCATCTGTTTTATAGGACAACATTTTTTCAACCGTTTTGAAAGAATAGTTATAATAGAAAGAATATTAATAGGGCGTCTCGGCAAAATGAAGCTACTCACGAAGTTTTAGCTTCATATTAATTATTAAAAAAGCCGTTGGGGACTGTAGACCATCACTATAAGTTTCGAAGTAAAATTGTCCTTCACCCATATATTCAATATATGGGTTCACCCATATATTAAATACCTACTCTCCTTTTTGAAAGTTTTTTGAAAATGTGCTAGCAGCTAATACAGCACATTTTCATTTTAACTAAGATATTTGATAACTCACTAGTTACTTATCAAAGAAAAGTACCAATTGAAAGTGAAAAACAACGTAATATTACTATATGGTACCAGATTGTCCGTACACTATATAGGAGAAAGGTTAAGTATAATCACGAGCAATTTATAACACGGTAGTCTAAGCTTGCTTGCGTAAAATCATTCATGAGTCATGGTTGCTAGAATTCGAAATTTAATTAAAGCATACAAATACGCGCAACAGAAAACCGAATACATATATACATTATACATATAAAATAAAAATTATAAACATTTTTTCAAATATTTACAACTACCTGTATCCGGGCTCGCGATGATGTGACTAATCTAGATGAGCGAAAAAAAGTTAAACTATCTTCTTACCAAATTTCATCTAAATCGGTTCAGTAGATCTAGAGATTACCCCCTACAACGTCACAAACTCACAATTTACAAACTTTACCTCTTTTTAATATTAGTATAGATTAGTATTGTGTACAAATCTCAAAGTACACATAATTGAATTACAAAATAATGTTCAACTGATTATTCTCAAAATTTGGAGATTGATTGTAATCTTTTCAGTTATTTGTAAAGTATCGTTTATTTTCAAGGACTCTGTATATCTGTCTGATTACGCATTTTTAGGTAGCAGTAAGCTACATTGAATTAATATAAGAAATTATATGGTTTATACAGAAATTTATTCCCCCCGGTCCCTCCTGCTTGTTTTTCCCTACACACTGCATGAAGACTAAAAAAATCCGAATGCCCATTTTTATTTAGCGGACACTTTTTATTATTGTTCAATAGATTGCACACCGCACACAATATCAAGCAAACTTTTTTAATACCATGTAAGTATTTCCATATAGATAGACAAACGACATATCTCGATTCGCTTGGGTGCATCCCTACCTAGGTACCTACCTACGCGGATTTTGTTCACAATTACATGGATTTTAAATTTTTTGCATCAAACCCTAATTATTTAAAAAAAATATTAGCCGAGTTATCGCTGTTACCAGGGTGCGTGGTGGCGTTCGACAAAAGCGCGCCCAGTTTAAGGTAAACGCTGTTTAATATGCTCAACCATATAGATGTCTCAATTTACATTGGCAGCGTCTTTTCTGAAATTTTTAATTTTTGACTTTGCTCTGTCCATATAAACTTTCAATCATCATCGTGTGACAAACTGTATATATTATAATTCACTAAAGTTTCAACGAAATCAACTGAACACTATTTTATAGCATTTTTGAAGTTATACTTCTTTTGGCGCTTTATGAAAAATGAAAAATAGATGATGAGAGTGATTTTTTTACGATGCGACAAATTTAGACTACAGTATGAAGTTAGTAGTTATTGACTACAGTGTGAAGTTAGTCGTTAATCTCCCTTTAATATAGTGAGATGTCTATATTCAAGATATATATTCCGGTATTTCTATATACACAACACGTGTTTTACATCGATAAATATTAAAAATATTACAAGCTTTTATTTAGGTTCACCTGTCTCGGGTGTATGTCTGTAATCAAATCTTACAACTTAAATTTGACCCACTTCCAATTGTCCAATTGAGCTGAAATTTGGCACATACATTTGACTCTCGTGACTGCACGGTGTCCTAAATGCCACCATTTTTAATCCAATACGACAGATGGACGTTACAAAATGGCGATTTATTATTTTCATATTGACCCCTAGGATATGGGTATCAAATGAAAGGGCTTGATGAGCGAAATACAATTAGCAAAATTACGTCATTATAAAATTATGGCGACTGTTTATTTTGCACCAAAATGTTATCTTGGCAAAAATTCTATGAATCATTGTTTTGGGTTCTATCGCGTTAATAAAACCGCCAATAATAGTTTTTCTCAAATATCTCCCATGTACAGACAGCGATCAGTTACAATTTATTATATAGACATTGATTATTTTTTGTCACCTACGTTTGGTTCGTTCAAAATAATAACATGACAAATACGAGCTCGCAGGCCAGTACACATGCGTTAGACTAGATTCAATAATCATCATAAGTCGTTGGCGCAGAAGCGAGTGGCTGGCGAGCGTGGAGCTCACCGCTCGCTTGCTGCTCTAGTGTGTTGTATGAATACAAGTTGACCGGGCGCGCAGCGCATTTTTTTTTATAAGTTAACACATAATATAATATAATAATGGGAGAAGGGCCTAATAGTGTATCTTCTCCACGCCCTAATAATAAATGTTAATATTTTAAAATTAATTGTAATTGTATGTGTTCAAGCCAATTTCTGTTTCTGTCTATATTTATGCCAACTGAATTGGCATGTTTTTCGGTAAACAGCCTGTGTAATGTATATGCCACGTAACTGGGTTTTATATGTAACAGATTCTTGTTCAAGTTTCGAAGAAAGCTCGAAATATTCTATTGGTTGCATTTATTTTAGTCCCTTGTATGTTAGCACTAAAAAAAACTAAGGTTAAGTCCTTGTTTTCGATATTATTTTTATAGCTCCAAAACAGATGGTATGGTAGTTTTAGTCGACAATTAAAATAAATATTATTTTTTCAAAGAGATTCAATGATGAAAAATAATTGAAAGTGTGTGTGAATTTTGTTATGCTTACCACATACATACATATGCATTTTTTAAAAAATATTTGACCCAAAACACATATACCATTGTAATACTTACAATCAAATTAATGAAACTACCTGCCCTATTGATACATAGAAGCTATGTATGCTTTTTATATTTTTTCTGTTTCAACTTTAGGCCAAGTTAATCAGCTCCTGGAAAGCACAAGCTCTCTTTAAGAAATTTGATGCTCGCGCCAATCATAAAGTATATGGAAAGGGACGCGCTTGTACACAAAATAAAGTGCTCATTATAGGCGCTGGACCCTGTGGAGTGCGTGCTGCTATTGAATGTCAACTTCTTGGTGCCAAAGTGGTTTGTAAATGACTAGACTATTAATTTTATCTTCTAAGTAATATTAAAGGTAATAGAGAAACTAAGGATGTTGGTTGGTAAAAGAACTTGTATATGTATGTATAACGTCGTATAAACATTATTTACAACAAAAACACATTTTGTAAATATAGTATTAATAATGTATTAATATTATTATTGAATATTAATGAAAGTTATTATCGTGTGGTAATTATACTAAATCAACTCAGGATAATCTCGACTGTGTTCGCTCTACATATGCCCAAATGTATGCGAATAATGTATTATGTGTGTTAGTATGTGCTGTATATAGTAAGTGCCTCGGTGGTTTTATTATTATTATTATTATTTTAATATCTCCTGCGCAGTTGGCTAGTCTCAATGAGATTGGCCGCCGTGGCCGGAATCGGTCAGGAGAATATTATATAGTAAGTGATGATTAAAAGCGCAGTATATTTATATTATTTAAGTATACTTTCCTTTTGTAATATGTGTATTTTTTTTTGCAGGTAGTAATTGAAAAACGTGATCGAATGTCCCGTAATAATGTGTTACATTTATGGCCTTTTGTAATCCATGACTTACGAGCGTTGGGTGCTAAAAAATTTTTTGGAAAATTTTGTGCTGGATCTATAGACCACATTAGTATACGGCAGTTGCAATGCATTCTTTTAAAGGTGATTCCTTTTTTATCACATATAAAAAGGCAGGGAAAGGATAAAATGAATACTTAACTTATGGAGCATTCCATATGAAGCGGACAGGAAAAAAAAGTTAAAAATAAACATCATAGAAAAAAATATTACGTATCCACTTTCATACCTACTAGAGGTATAAATACCCGCATATGAACAAATTTCCTAACCTCACTTTTTTTTCCTGTCCGCTTCATATGAAATGCCCCTATTGTGTTTTAATTAAATATCAATATTTACTTGATATACATATATATTATTTATACAATATAGTCCGAAGGTAAGAAACAATTTGCTTTTACTTACAGGTAGCGCTGTTACTGGGTGTAGAATTTCATGAAGGAGTTAGTTTTGAAGAACTACTGGAACCAACAATTACAGAAAATTCTGAAAGTAAGTGTGAATATTAGTATGTTACATATTATTATATATTTTTATTAAATAAATTTTGCAATTTTATAAACCACTAGCAACTCACCCTCGTTTCGCTCGGGTTCGTCCCCAGCTCGATCCTCTATACGAATTTTCATTCCCTTAAGGGATGATTTCCGGGATAAAAAGTATCCTATGTCCTTCCCAGGGTTTCAAACTATTTTCTTACCAAATTTATTTAAATCGGTTTAGTAGATCCATAGATTACCCCTTACAACGTCACAAACTCACAAACTTTACCTCTTTATAATATTAGCATAGACAAAGGTACGATGGTACTTACTTACGGTGCTGTGTCAGGTGCGTAAAGTACAGGTGGTGGCGCTAAATAAAAATATACAAAAAAAATGTTTATGTACGTCTAGTGACATTTTGAATAATTTATCTATAGCTTTAGGATGGCGTGCGCGTGTGATCCCCTCGGACCATCCGGTAGCACAGTACGAATTTGACGCGTTGATCGGGGCCGATGGTAAACGTAACACTCTACAAGGTTTCAAACGCAAAGAGTTCCGCGGGAAACTCGCCATGGCGATCACGGCCAATTTTATCAACCGGCACACGGAGCAAGAAGCGTCGGTATGTAAATATAAAATATTATTACAGTCTACCAATTTATGTAGTTGTCTAATGAACGCATCTAGAAGGGCCATATAGTACGTGAGGCGTATTTCAAATGCTAAACGTTATTTTATACTAGCGACTCACCCTAGCTTTGCTAAAAAGAAGACAAACGTTGAAATTTTAATGTTAGCCAGGAACTTTGGTAGGCATATACAGAATAACCCATCAGAGTTTCATAATAATCGGATCTATGGTTTAGGAACGCATAAAGGACGAACATAAAAATATTCGTTTTTATTTATATGGATGACAGTCGGGAAACCGTAAAGATTTACGGTTACGACTGTAACTTGGCACGAGATGGTACTATGGCGCTCTAACTTCTACGCTAACTAATTATTCGCCATGAAATTGTATTTACGACCGTTGCGTTTTGCATTATTTCCGTTAAAATCAAAGGCGATCACCTACTGTATGGATTTTTACACGTGATAATAGCGAAGAGATAAGCCTGATTAGTCACGGGCTTAATTTCTTCCACAAGTTGAACGGGTGTATTGACACATTTGTAAGACCTTTAATTTTAACCCAATGTAAACGATTTTTCAAACTTCATAAAAAAATTTAAAACCTTAACCAGAGTGATACCAGCGCCTTTTAAGTTTTTAATTTATCATGTAACTATTATTGCACTATGAAATATTTTTTCACGTAGATAATTCGTACAAAGGCTCGATTGTTCTCTTACGATTACCAATGGCAAAAAATTAAGACAATAAAATCATCGATTTTGCTTTCTAACTCAAAGAAGTCATATGAAAATATATATTTTGATAAGTACATCATGGGGCCTACCGCGCTTGAATTCGTCGCGAGAGGCCCTAGTGTAGAGTGAGGGCTCTGGAAATGCCAAATGAAGAATGAGAAATGTTAACTGTCTGCGATTTGCGATGTTCACCAATTATTCATGATTATTGTAAAGATTGTGCCATTCCTCATTAACTATGGCGGACACGATACGGCTGAACAAATATTATTGCCTTAAAAGAAGAGCTAAGAAAAAGTCAAATGGTTCTGCCGCTCTAACTAAAACTTTTTTAACGACAGCGGTAGGACCTGTCTCGATACTCGCCAGTGACGCCAACTGGTCACCAGAAACTAAAGCCCTCATTTGAATTACATAGTATACTCGTAGTACATATAATATACTCGTAGTTAAATAAGAAAGCCTTGCAGATAGATTGCGTTTTCAACTTTTAAAATTATCATGTTTACAATACCTTAATTATATATATACTAATAATATATAATAATAATAATAATTTTAGGTGCCGGAAATTAGTGGAGTGGCTTTTATATTTAACCAGAAATTCTTTAAGGAATTGTACGAAGTTACTGGAATAGATCTCGAAAATATTGTTTATTATAAAGACGATACGCACTATTTTGTAATGACTGCTAAGAAGCACAGTCTTTTGGATAAAGGCGTTTTATTAAATGTGAGTAATATTTTATGTGTTTTATTAGCATATTTTCCAGTTTGTCAATGCCCCAAAGTATCATTAATTTATTTAAGTAATTCTTTTCTATTTAAATTATTTATATGATTTTTATTGTTAGGATTTTGCCGAAGTTTCTAGACTTCTTAGCGTTGAAAACGTAGATCGTGCAGCATTAATGCGATATGCCCAAGAGGCGGCCAGATTTTCAACGGACGGACGTTTACCACTTCGGGATTTTGCACTAAATCATTATGGTGAACCCGACGTTGCGCTATTCGACTTTACATCCATGTACGCAGCAGAAAATGCCAGTATGGTAAGACTTGTAACACTATATTACATATTTTGTAACACTATATTACATATTTGGTGGCATGGCAGTCTCCGCGTCAAGTCGAGTAAAAAAAGATACAGCCGTACCATTCTGCTCTCGAAGCATTTCAGGACATTTTTGACCCCTCTGTAACTTCGTTGTGGATAAAATTAGAAGCCTGAATTTTAAAATACCTTTCCGTCCGTTGGCCAAGTCATCTTAGTTATATATATGTTGGGACAAACATACAGCATTATCCACTTCCATGGTAAGCTACGAGGCTTGTGTTAGGGATACCAGATATTTGATACACTACACATATAATATAACTTAAAATTTACATACAAGTATGGTCAGTACAAACTGAGCCAAACGTGTCGTCAAATTTATTTAAGAAATAAAGATATCTAATATTGACACTTTCACTAAATATGTTGCTATTTAACATACATTAGATCTCACAACATTTTGAGGTAGAAGAATTGCGTTGCGAGACTTGCATTTTTTGATGGGATATATATAATATATCCCATCAAACACATAATGTGTATAAATACAAAACAATATAATATAAATACAAAAACTACAGTGTAAGAGTATACTAATATGTAAAACCTAAGAATTTGGTTAATATGGTAATATATACACTCCTTTGCAAAAAAAACGGGCACTTTTGATTTATTCGAGTACTTTTAGTATTAACAGTTGTAAAAGGGATTTGATGCAACAAAATAAAATAAATATTATTTACTGATGTAAAAACACTTTGGTTTGGTAATTAAGTCGATCTTAATTTGCTCCGTTTTGATTTTTAGGAATTTACTCATTTTGACAAAAAATAAGGTATATTACATACAAGAAAATAAAAAATTAATATCGATTGTGGCCTCCTCTGGCTGAAATAACTGCTGCAATTCTTCGTGGCATGCTTTGGATGAGTTTTTTTATGAGTACTTAGGAATACTCTCCCATTCGGCCGTAATAGCAATTTTAAGTTCTCGGATGTTCTGTGGGGTGGGTGTACAGCTCTAACACGTCGTTTTAGAAAGTCCCATAGATGCTCGATGGGGTTCAGGTCGGGACTTCGTGCTGGTCAATCTTAACGGCAGATCCCGACTTCACTTAAGTAAGCGTCTACGTCTCCCGCTCGATGTGCTCGAGCATTGTCGTCCATAAACACAGCAGCACTTCCTGTGTTTATGGACGACAATGCTCCGTGAGAAGAGAAGAGTTCCGTGATGTAGCGTTGTGCATTTAGAGAACCATTTTCTACGAAAACTAACTCTGTACGATCTTCAGAAGTTATGCCAGCCCAAAACATGACAGCCCCCATCGTACGGCGTAATTTCTTCAAAACATATCACTGCATAACGTTCTCCTGGTCTTCTTAGCACTTTACGACGTTGGTCCTCATTAAATAAAGAGATTCTGGCTTCATCAGAAAATAAAACCTTGCTCCATTCTACATCCGTCCACGTCGCACAATTTTGGGAAAATCTTAACCTTGCAATACGGTGCCCACGGAGTAATTTAGGACCTCTAGCTGGTCTTCGACTGTGTATATTGACTTCTAGAAGTCTCCTCCTGACAGTCCATACGCTGACACATTCTTAACATTTTCAAGATTGTTTTTGATGTTATTGACTTCCGATTTCGTAAAGCTTGGCTCACAATATATCGATCGTCTCTGGGCTCAGTACATTGTTTTCTTCCTGATCCTGTCTTCTTTTCAAAGAATCGGTTTCTTGAAACCTAGTCCAGGTCCTCTGAACAGTGAAACGACTGACACCAAACCGTTACGACACATAACATTGAGTACAACCTTTTTAAAGAAGAGTCACTATATTACCAGCGATAATTGTCTTGTCTGCCATATTACGGTATAAAATTTATCACGAATAACCAATTTAAATAATTTTACATCAATATCAATACATTAAAATTACAAGAAAGCCTTTTTTATTTATTTACAGCACAATATCTAAACACAAACTGCGAGCAAATGCTCGAATCGATTAGAATATTTTTAAATAACTTTAAAATCTTCAAATTTGGAACATTTTATTTTACTTGCCAGTACTTTTTAATACGTAGAAAATTGTTTCTAATTAATTAAATACATATAAAACCTTTTTTGTTTAAGATTTCCATAGTTATACAGAAAAGGTTTGGGTGCCCGTTTTTTTTTGCAAATGGGTACATATATAATCAAAAACAATAAAGTTAAAGGTTAAATACTAATTATTATGACACGCATTGATGATAATAGATAAACAATTTTTGCTTAAAAACATTATAAGCCGTCTACCGTAGTGATAAAATGACTTTGACTTATCACACAATGACGTTAAATGACTTTTAATTACTATTGTCTTTCATGGGACCAATAATGAAATTTCGAGTAAGACAGTCCTATGTAGAAGTGTATGGGGAGTTTATGGTTGATGGGCTATGCAAGCTAACGGATGAAATTTAATGGAAGTTCTACTACCACTACTACTGTATGTGTCTGGCTTCTATAATAAGATGTCTTATATTCTACTAGCATTGCCCGCGGTTCCGCCCGCGTTCAGATGACCAAAAACCAATTCTTAGGTTTTACATATTAGTATACTCTTACAATGCAGTTTTTGTATTTTTTCTCAGAAATGAGATATTTTCCCGCGGTAAAAAGTATCCTATATGATGACCCGGATAACCAGCTATCGTCATACCAAATTTTATCAAAATCTGTCTAGTGATTTTCTCGTGATGCGGTAATAGACAGACAGACAAAAATTCTAAAAACTATACATTCGGACTCTGTATCGATAATAATGTCTATTTTAATTACATTTTCCAAAAAATATTTAATGTACAGATTCGACCTAGTTACAATTTTGTTATATGTATAGATATTCCTTACGTTGTAGCGATGCAATAGATTGGAGTGTAATTTGGAATAAAGATAACTTATATCCTAGATGGTGTTAAACCTTAAGGCTATAATGTCCTCAAGGATTGTGTTACTTTTAACGATGTCTACTATGCGAGCGGTGCCACAGGCGACAATTTTTTTTCCGTAACTGTCTAGACCACTGGGTCTATTGTATAGCAGCATGTAATGCAGGGAGGTCAGAGGCCCTGGGTTCGAGTCCCAGGTCGGTTTATGTTCTGATATTGAGTTTTTCTGTCTGTCAAGATTTCAATTTATAATAACAAGCTGACTTGGTAAATCGGCGGTGCCTCACGTCCGTGCATCGGTGAGCACGCAGTTTTTGTCATCACTGTCATCACACCGGAGTTTGAAAGTGAATGGAATAGAGAGTGCATTTGTGTTTGCGCGAATGCTTGATATCTGTCTCAGTGAGATTGGTCCAGGAAAATGGTCAGGAGGATATTATTACACATTTTCCCAGGTGTACGAGCGTCACGGGCGTCGGTTACTGTGCCAGCTTGTGGGGGACAGTCTGCTTGAGCCGTTCTGGCCGACAGGGTCGGGGTGTGCTCGTGGGTTCCTCTCCGCCCTGGACGCAGCGTGGGCGGTGCGCGCGTGGGGCAATGCACCCACCCCACACCCACTGGAAGTTATAGCTGAGAGAGAATCTATTTATAGACTTTTGGGTATTCTTTATATCGGACTACTATTATACATATATGCGAATGTTTGCATATGTTTGTATGTGTGTAGGTATGATCTGGAGTAGCATGTAGGCTGTATGTATGCTAAGCACGTTGAGACGCATCCAGTTGAAGGCAGGGTATTTCGCTAGTTATTATATACATAACTTCTTTTGCTACACAGACACACACACACACACACATGCAGCTGCATTACCACTGATGCCTACTACCACTTCTGACTAGAGCGTGTAGAGAGCTAACTTTAGCCATATTTTTGCATTTATAAGTGTGATTTAAAAAATGTTTATGGTTTTGTTTATACTATGGATTGTATTAAAAATATTTTTCAAATCTAATGTAATCCTTGATAAAACATATAAAGGCACAGACTATTAAAGTTATTTTTTTATAATCAAACGACTTTAATAAGTATAAATTAAGATGATTGTATAGTTAAGATGGGCGGATAAAAATGATTTATACTCGTATGTCTAAGTGTAATTAAAATTATAAAAAAAAGGTATTAAATGGCCTATGCATACAATACAATTTATCCATTGCACGTCTGACTGGACTCATACATTTTAAGATAATAAACTTTTAAGGGTAATATACATACTTATGCAGTGTATTCGAATTGTATGCATGTAGGGATCTTTCAGTTTTAAATTGCATAAGACCTCGGTGCAACTTACATGTATATTTCAGTTTGGGGAAGGAAATACTTATTTCAAGCTTCTATTTCTTTTAATTATTGTACATTTACTTGTGTAACTGGTTGCAATAAATATTTTCGTCCACATATTAAAACAATAATGTAAAATGCTACTAGATCATGTGCAGTTTAAGAGTGAAAGATCTCGACCTATCTTTCTATTTGAAAATTTAATGAAAAAAAAACAAACTTAGCGCAAACAACCCCGGAGAACCTTCACCGTGACTTCGGCGCGTACACGTTAGACCCGGGCACGCGCTACCCCAACCTGAACCGCGCTGCCGTCACGCCACACCGCGTCACTGCCTTCTACGACTCTGACGAGCCCTTCCCACTGGATGCCGCGCCACAGCCGAAGAAGAGACGCAGAGGTTCGTACTTTATCTGTACTGTTCGGCGTTACGTCTTAAGTTCTTCATTAGAACCCTAACAACAATAATATCGTGAGAGGTAATGTTTGTTAGCTTGTATGTAAGGGGTAATCTCTGAAATTACTGATCCCATTATGAACGTTCTTTCACTAATAGGAACCTACATACATTACTTCTTAGTGCTATTGGTTATTTTTAATTGTAATTAGATTAAATAGTCTCATAATTATTCAAAACGGCGCGCTCGCCAAATATTAAATAAAGTCGAGTAATTACTTTTTCCTTTAACATTTTATAATTGGGTCTGCTAGTTAATTATAAACTTAGCTTAAATAATGGCCACTCTTCCAATATAAATCTAGTAGATTTAAGTGAAATTCAGATAAAATATTAGTTGCTTTGGTTATTACCACACGAACGAATCCGTAAGCCAAAACTGTTTACACATATTGAATTTAAATATTTATAATAATGATATTTTTATCAATAATAACTACATTTTCAAGAGCCTGAAATATCGGAGGAGGCCCTTATAGCATGGGTGGGGCACGTAGAGCCGGGACTGAGGGCCGCGACAGGGCCGGCCGCCCTCTCCGACCTGCTCAAGCGTTACAGACCGGACTTGTTGCCACCCGAGTCCTCGCCTAGAGCCGTCTACAACATTCTGCAGCAAGAATTCGGTTTGTTGGTTTTTATTGTAGTTGCACCGTTTTTTATTTTTCTGTTTTCGTTATTACTCATAAAGTGGGAATGCTCGTAATAAATACATGCTCGACAATTCGATTAAGATCTAAATTTGTTAATAAATTATTTCCTTATCACTAAGTACTTAACTGGTTCATGTTTTTATCACAGGTTCATTGATTAAATTTTTCATAAATAAATCATTGTAAGCAGTGCTGCGGGAAAAAACTAATTTATTAGTATTTACTAACAGGTATAGCACCGATTGCAACAAATGGGCCCACCCGCGATATTCCAGAGGCAAAATTACGATCATATCTTCTGCGTGTATATTATGCTTTTAAAGGTGAAGTTCCTCATGTCTATCATAAATCGGACATGTTCGATCAGGTGAGAAATCTTTATGATTTATAAATATATATGTTATCGTATTGAACAATTTTTTTATTATTGCTGTAATTTTCCAGATTAAGCAAAGTCAGCAAACTGAAAAGAATATACGAAACATAACTGACCATTCTGTTTCTGTTTATTCAAGTAAGTTTTAGTTTCTTTTTTATAATTATAATACGTTTGAACGAAATTAATTATTATTATAGTAATTTCATAACACAACAAGTAGAATACAACTTAACAAGTAAATGAAGTGTTGCCTAGGCTGCAGTAATTTGTTTTCAGCGTTTTGATAAAGAAGCTATCCTATTTTTCTTCGTTTATTTTCATTTACGATCTAGGATGAGATATGAAGGATTTAAATCTTGATTGTAGGTTTACTGCTACTTTAGGACTTCAACTTCTTTATTTGGGACTCTAGGACTTGACTTTAAAGTATCCTGATAATTAAAGAAAAATGTATATTTTGTGAATTGTTTTTAGACGCTGCGGATACTGACAAATCTCATTCGAGCCACAGGAAAAAGCGTCGCTCCGTGCGTACACAACAAGTAAGTAATGATCCTGCGGAATTTATACGGAAAGAAATTGGAAAATTAGATCTTAACGATATTACACAATTAGCTCGCCTCATCGAAGGTCATGATGCGATTTCCAATGACGAACAACATACAGATAAGCAACGCGAATTGCAAGAACAAATAATTACTTTATTAGATCCCGAAGAATCCCCAGACCCCGCTATAATACGAGATTCTTTAGCTCAACTTTTGCAAGGTACATCAAAAACAAAAATAAAAGCAAAAGAAGCCATGAAAGATCAAGCAAATCTCGCACATTTCTTTCAAGGAGGTAATACAGAAAAAAAGTCTATAAATCCGCCTCGTAAATTAAAAGGTTTGGATGCAGACACAATAAAACTACCCGATTTCTCAGATATATTCGACAATTCTGAGGACACAGATGCTACTTTGGTAGCAAAGATTACAAAGAAAAAAGTAAAATTAAAATCTCCTTCAATAAGTATCAGTAAACAGGACAAATTCACTCGTTCTTCTTCGACGGAGACACCGGCTCATCAAACTAGAAGATTGTCTGAAGTAATAGATAAAGAACGAAAAAGGTTCTCACAAAGCCCTGAAGTAGCGCCTTATGGTCGATCGAATTCAGTTGGATCATCAGAAATGGCATACAACACTAAACGTATCGCGCAATTGTTCGAAGGCCACAAACGCCACACACCGAGCCCTGAATCAGTTTCAGTTCGCACAAGATTAGCAGACAATCCAGAAATGGCATCTCGTTGGCAACGAATGGCTGATATAATTGAAGGAAAACGACGTGACACTCCTAGTCCCGATCGTTCGAAGCGACGTGATTCCATTGGGAATCCCGAACTAGCTCTACGCAGGCAGCGCGTATCAGATTTGATCAAAGGTGTGCCTAAGCAGCGTCGAAGCCCTGAACATTCAACGCAGAGGAGGAATTCTGGTGAAATGGCATTTAGAATGCAAAGGGTATCTGATATGATGAAGAAAAAAAGTGCCGAGGCCAAGAGACCGAAAACATACGGCAAACGGAAGGCAGCACGTGAAATTATGAAGCAACGTTTTGAGAAGAGTTTACAGATGCTTGCTGCAGAAACGCGGCTCGATTTTACGCCCTCAGCTGATTTGGAAAATGATTACGGCTTGCAACAGTACCGAGCCAGCGCGCCGCAATTCGACGAGCGAGTTAAAAAATTGGAGCGGAAGTTGCAACACTACGTGAGATATGTGTGGTCGTGTGTTGCATGGTAAAAACTAACGCTCTTCATATAAGAAAGGTTGCAACCAGTTGTGACATGACTTGACAGTCATGTCGTTGCACTATTAATACTTTAATTAAAGCAATCGTTTTGTCACAATAAACCGAAAATATGTTGTATGCATTATGTTGTGTAAGAGTATATTGCAAAGAAAAATTATTGAATTAATGGCTTGCTGTGTCTGCATGATTAGTAATAACTCCCACGAGTGTTGTCTAATTTTCAATATTTGGATACAGAATTAATTATAGTTGACTTTATTCACAATCACACTAACCCGTGTTGTTATTTTTCTTTTTTGTATGACATATATTTTGTATTTGTAATATTATTTTTTTCTACCATGATTCAAATACCAATTAAATCAATCATACATGCTTATTATTACTTTAGAATGAATATTATGTATAAACTAGTGCGTGACTGTCCAAGTCCGCCCAGCCATTTAAGCGGGAGTAACAAACATACAGACATATATATAAACGTTCCTAATTACAATTGCATAGTGATAATGACTGTTTGATGTTATATAGGAGGAGGGCAGATTGGTTGGTGGTGGTGGACGCAACGTGGGTGGCGGAGCTCGCGTGGCTCGCCTTGCCGCCGAACTATCCAACACAACCACTCCCTCGGCAGTACCTCGCGCTTCCAAACCGAAAGATCTCATGAGATCTGTAGGCAAAATTGAACGAGACGATTGGAATGTTAAGGAAATCGAACGAAAGATATTGGAAAATAAACTCGGCCGACCTGAGCCTAAAACTGCGGAGAAGGTACCCAAGTGGGACCGAGAGCAAGTTAGTTTATAATAAAGACATTTTTTTTTATTAATATTTCTTTTTGATATAGCTAAATGTTTATTAATTAACATTGATGGCAAAATGACACGTAACTTTCAATTTGGATTAAATATATAACCGTCACGCTTTCTTTTCTTATCCACATAGTATACCGATTTTTCGATAATGCAAATTTTCCATATTACAATTTACAAACAAAACAAAATGGTTTACAAAGTTACCTTTTATCTGTAATTTCTTACGGCTTTTATTATCTTCAGTTCTTGGGTCGTCAACGCCGACTCAAGGAAGGCGATTCCAACGAAGAAAAATGGGGGGAAATTGACGAAACTCTGCACAAACTTGATCAAAAGCTCAGAGATTCTGGGAGACCGGATCACGGAACTAAAAAAGTAATATATAAAATTATTTTTTTTGTTGCAATAATAAATTCAAATTTTAAATTTAATTTTCTATTTGTTATATTTTATTTTATAGGTAGCTAACTTGGCCACGAAATTTGTTAAAAAAGAAGAACCAACCGAGGAAGTTTACAAAGTGGCACCTAAAGAGGAGGTAACTATTACATTATTAGCCGACTACGGGACGCAAAGGAATGGTAGTGTGTATATCAGTCTATGTATGTATGTTTGTTCCTATGTGATCAAATGCATGCCAATTTTGATGATTCGTTATACACGGTTATGTACATTGTACATCTCTCGGCGACGCGGTTTGTCTCCGACTGCAGAATACTATATTCCTTCGTCAACTTCAACTTAAGCAGTCGAGTTTTTTATTTTTATAATATGTTTTTTATAATGGACATAAAACAAAAACAAACATTAATGGGTTAAACTGGTGAGGCAGTACTGTAACTTTAGTAGAAGTAGTGCTGAACTTTTTATTACATATTTACTAATAAACTAGGACTTTCATATAAATAAAAGACGAAATCTCTAGTGTGAGTGCCGCTCACACTTAGAAAGTTTTAATATTATTTATGTTCGTTTTAAAGCTAGAATTATACATTACGTTTGAAATCTGAATGAGGTAACACCATAAAACATGTTCTCTAAAATAATTAACCAGCTTAACGTCACGGTTTTAATAGTACAATTCCTTAAAGCTAGAATTGACGGACAGGTGAGCAAAGTGTGTAGGTTTTTAAAGCAAAATTAAACGAGTATTACAAACATCACATACTTTCTGTTCGTGCGTTTTCTGAGTTTTGTTTTAATTATGCCGTGACATTTTTTTTAAATGTTGAAAGGTTTATAATTATAAACACGCGTTCCAATTTGAGAATTAAAGAATTTTATCTATACATATAATAAAATTCTAATTCAGTACAATATACAGAAAATTATATATATTTAGGAAAATCTTATTAAAATAGTTATTATTATCGATACAGATGCTGAATCTATAGTTTTTTTTAGTTTTGTCTGTAAGTCTGTCTTTCTGTCTGGGAACGCATTACGAGAAAAACACTGGATAGATTTTTATGACATTTGGTATAATGATAGCTGGTTATCCGGGTCAATATATAGGATACTTTTTACTTCAGGAAAATATCTCATCTTAGAGAATTTACAACGTATCTATGGACAAACCCGAGCGGAGCAAGGGTGAGTCGTTATTTAAGTTATATAATTCCTAATAGCTGTAACCCCATACTTATTTTGTAGCTAAAAAAGCAATGGCGTGGCCCGTCATCAGCGGGCATGCAATGCGCGGCTTGCGGCACGCGCGTGTTCGCAGCAGAGGGCGTCACGGCCGACGGCCTGCATCTACACCGCGCCTGCTTCCGCTGCGCTGTCTGCAAAGCTGTACTGAGACCAGGGTTTGTTGTTATATAATGTTCTTCTTACCGTTTATAGCTGCGACGACAAATCTCACTGAGACATGCCACCTCTGCGTAGGAGATATAGTGCGCACACAACGTGCATTCGCTATCACTCTCATAAAATATGGTGGGACGACAATCAGACACAACCGGTGTGATACCAATTGCAGAACCGACGCGGCAAGTGCTCTCCGAGCCACGGTAGTGGGAAGCTGCCAACTTCCCAATTACAGACTGTTATTGAGTATTTCTTGGCAGAAAAACTCAAAAACTAAACTTGACCCAGTCAAGACTCGAGCCAATGACCTTCGTAAATGTAGTTGTACGTGCTAGACTCTAGACCGCAGAGGAAAGTCTTATAGTGCAGCTAGATGTTGCCCTAGCTTGATCGCTTGCATGGTAGATTCATCGGTAATAAAAGTAGGCAATTAATATTTTTAAACGTTACTGTTTTAAGACGAGATGTATGTGTATTGTGTATACTATTTATAAATTTTAATATTTAATATAGTAGAAGATCCGATCCTAAATCGACCTTCACCGGGCTGATAATAGAATGAGACCTATTTTATTATAAATTTAGTCAATTATAAAATATATAAAAAATGGGTTTGCTGAAAAAATCCTGGACAGAATATTTTTAATTATTTTTTTTAAAATGATTTAGCTACTCCAAAATAACGCCGAACTGTTTACAATATGGAGAGTAGTAGTGGTGGGGTACCTCTACTCTCCATAGTTTACGTACCGAGCATGCACATTCAGAGTCCCATCAGAAACGACTGCGACGCTCGGTCCTTTATTATTACACGGTATACTTACTTCGGATCTCTCTGTCTCTCATTTTCGCACGCGTTGTAATTTAAATTTTTAAAATTCGCAAACCTCTATTAGGACCGAATTTTTTGCAGACAACCCTATATCAACGTGTTCACAATAAAACAGTTCTTATGCTGATATAATTTTTTTTCTATTATCCCATCAAGTGAAAGTAACTGGCATCGACATACCTGTTTATACCTGCAAACCTAGCAGTTCGTCCAGGTAAATAATGGACAACCCTATGTCGGCACATTCTATATGTTTCATACTTCAAGTCTAGTGTAAAATTTTATTATTATCTTAATATTGCAAAATTTAATGAAAAATCATTTTTTTTAAATAATTAAAAATATTTTGTCCAGGATTTTTTCAGCAAACCCATTTTTAATATATTTTCTAATAGACTAAATTTATTATAAAATAGGTCTCATTCTATTATCAGCCCGGTGAAGGTCGATTTAGGTTCGGATCTTAGACCTACGAGTTCATAATATATCAATCACAATGGAAATTAGCTGTTTTCTTTTAACGTTATTTACAAAATACCCAATAGTTATTTTTCAAAATACTCAATTGCAACTACTTAAAATGTAATAAATATATTAGTTAGTTTATTGTTGTATACGTAGAAGCTACACAATGGAGCGCTACGGCAGCAGGCTAGTCTGCCTCCGTCACTCGGGCGTGAGCGTGCCCGACGCGATAGTAACGAGTTCTCTGACCACACCGTCCACGACCCGCACCGACGCGCCTACACCCACGCCAGAACGAATCAGTCTAGAACTTTCCGATGGTGGAGCACGAGAAATCGACGAAGATGAATGGACCGACAGGAACTTCCTTGCTTCCGAAACCTCGGGAGCTGGAGGTCTTAGGTATCAAATTTGTAATAATTATTCTAGATACATACTTGTTTTCAGAATGTTTGTTTAATTTAACTATGTTTAAGTACATATTTTATAGTTTAATAACTAATATTTTACATATACATAGTATGATAGATTTAAAGCTCACGAAATTTTAAGAGTGTTCTTATATTTGTATATTATAATATTTAATAACTAAGTTTTACTTTTAGTGACGAAGAAGAATCCAGTTCCGACGAGTACACAGATGCGGGCGACAGTGACAACGAAGCGGAGCAGTCACCAGAGCCCGTGCTCAGTGAGCCGCGTCCACCGCACTCTCACCTCTACTTCTCGGACGATTCCTTTGGCTATGATGATTATTCAGATGATGGTAAGGCATTTTTATTTGCGTTAAATGATTCATAGACTCCTTTTTAGGATTAGTATGTCAGTTACTATCTATACTGCTTAGTTCCAAAAGCTTTGCTTTATGGCATACGTGGACAGTGCGCGAAATATAGAGGGCAGTACTATTGTCCCCCTAGTGTTTTATTCCCGAAGATAGTGGAATCAAAACATTCAATTGTGAACACAGATTTATAAAAATGGAAAAAATAATAAAACATGGATAATCAATATAATCAATAATCATGTACATGATCAGAATAGTGAGAAAGGTAAAAATAAAGTCTAATATGTTTATGGTGTAGTAGAAAAAAAGTAATAAAAGTGAAACTATCTTAACCGCAAAAGATGAACCACAAACGAGCATGTCAAGTGTTTGTAATGAAAATTATTATGGTATGCATAAAAAAATTACTTTAAAAAACTTAGTATAATCAAATTAAAAAACAACATTTTTTTCTTGACATTGACATTATTGAAAAATGATCGCTATAAATTCCACTTGTTGGCATAAAAGTCTAGACGTACGGTCACTATAGCATGATTTCGTATGGGAATTTACAAAATACCAAAATCTAAACAACTCTTAAAATGTGTATATCTGTTTGCAATTGCTAACCTACAGAACTGACTTTAAAACTTTTATAAGCTGTTAACCCAGGAAAAAAAGAATTATGATTACGAAGCAATCAGAAACATACTTGCAAAATCCTACAATGATAATATTACATCAATCGAGAATGCAATAGCAAGGAATTCGAAGTACTTCTGGACGCACACGAAAAAAATTTCTTTGATTTTGTCAACTGCGTCAAAGGTCTTTGAGTCTTGTGCAATCAACATTTGCTTAGTATGGTGAGACATAATCTAAGTCAGGATCAAAATGGTTTTATGTCAGGAAGATCTTCTAACACTAATCTTATATCCTATATTAGTGAAATCACAGAAGTTATCGATGGTGGAGATCAAATAGACGCTATTTACACTGATCTCTCAAAGGCATTTGACAAAGTTACCATAACATATTAATTAAACGATTAAAGTCTTAATGTGACCGATGCTTTAATATGCTGGTGTGAGTCGTATCTACGTTTAAGATCGTCTACTGTTGTAATCTATGGATTTCAGTCGGTTTCATTTATAGCAAACTCTGGTGTACCACAAGGATCAATTTTGGGACCTATATTATTTAACATCTTTATAAATGACATAACAAACATTTTCAAGTACTCAAAAATATATATGTATGCCGATGATCTAAAGTTGATCCGAAAAATCCAAACTTATGATGATGTGATATATTTATAAAATGACTTAGATGAACTATAAAAATGGTGTAAGGCTATAAATAGAATCTAAATGCAAAAAAAATTCATTACATCCAGTTTACACGTAAAAAGAAAAAGATAAACATTGAATATAAAATATCGAATGTGACTATAACCAAAGTGAATGTTGTCTGCGACTTGGGGGGGTTCTTGGGTTCTAAATTGCAATTTACTTCACATATAGATTATGTCTCGAAAGTAGCTTATAAATCATTAGGGTTGGTCTCAGACATTCAAAGGATTTAAATAAAATCTCAACAGTATTATTGCTTTTTAATTGTTTTGTCCGAAGCAAATTGGAATATTGTTCTGTTGTTTGGTCGCCTCGATACATGTCCATGTCGATAGAATTGAACGTATTCAATAAAAGTTATTGAAGTTCTTAACATATTGGTTCAGGTTTCTTAATTTCTGCACAGGATATGAAAGCAAACTAAAGCATATTCGTCAGCTACGAGTATCTCTAAACGCAAGAAGAAAGCGTTTAGATCTAACGTTTCTATCCAAGCTACTAAATAATAGAATCGATTGCCCGATTCTATTGTCGAAAGTAAATTTTAATGTACCAGTGAGAACTTCTAGAAAGCAAATTGCCGTCTTTCGAATTAATAAACATAAAACGAACCTAGGAAAAAATGCGCCACTTAACGGACTAGCTAGAACCTATAATTGCATTACTTCGGAAAACACTTGCATGACACATTTAAAGCGTTTAAAAACAAAATTAATTGCTATCTTGAGCAAATTCAATATTAATCTATTTTTCTTACTTTTTTTTAGAAAAAAATATTGTATTAATGTGATTGCATGCCGTTTTTCTTTTTTTTTTTTTGCTGTTTCGTTTTAATTTTTACGCTATAAAATATAAATATAAACATAATAGATACTTAACATAGATTATAATTGTGTAAATTATTTATTATTTTTGTTATAAAATTATATATTTTTTAATTTGTAATTGTAATTAATTAATTATTTAAAAAAAAAATAGTTTTACTGTACATTATTTAATACTAATGTGATAGCCTGTAAAAGCAGCAAGTTGTAACTACCTATAATTAAAATTGCAATTATCACGATAAATTATATGTATCCAGGTTTAAGTATTATAATATTGTAACTTTGGTTGGTATTTCAACAAATAAATAAATAAAATAATTGGGAATACATAAGATATGTTATTAATTTGAGGTGCTGAATCTTCTGGCAACGAATCGTGTTCGCGCATGCGGGCTGCGCGCGAGGCGCGGCGGCGCGAGGTGCCAGCCGAGGCGCGGCCACCCACTGACAGCAGCGAGGTACCGCGCTGCGTCGTCGTCTAGCGCGTTAGAGTCGCGCGACCGGCCGCCTGACTGCCTGGCTGCCCGGTCCACATGGCCCAGGCCGCCTGGCTCAGGCCACAGCTACCGCAGGTCGCGCGACTACAGGGAGGTGCGCCTCGAACCGACTCTCGTGCCGCCGCCATCATGTTTTTACTGTCACATATCCATTTTTTCATTTATTTGTATTTAAAAAGGCATGCTATCCCACGTTCATATAAGTACCTAATATGTCTATAAAATATGAAATGAAATAAAAATTAACTTTATTCATCATCATCATATCAATTAATGGTTTTGTTTTAAAAGTTTTCTACTTAACTATAATTGATTACATATCTTATTATTCACGTTCCTTTTATTGAATTCTCTTTTATGTATATGGTATAAAATATATTTAAATTAAATTAGAAAAATATCATGATTTTAAATACACTGGCGTGCAAAAAAATCGGGCCACTCTTAATTTTAAGCATAATTTTTTGTTGACAATTGTTTGGTGAAAAAAAATACCGCAAAGGTAATTAAGGAGATTAGACGCCTTTGTTTCCTTCAAAAAAGTCATAAAATTCCTGTAAATGCACGTGTGCGCTTAATTATTGTCAATTAACAGTAATTAGTGAATATTTGCATAATATGGATTGAAGCCACAAATACTGTTTTTTGTTATTTTAGAAGCTTAGTTGAGTTCCAATTCCTGAGAGAAGTGAGAGGAGTTAATGTTAGTGAGTGGACAGTAAGGCGCCGACTTAGAGCCGCTTCCCTGACGCCACGCAAGGCCGCAACTGCCCCAAACTCACTCCTGCACATTGAATTGCAAGATTACTTTTTACCCGAGATCACGTGAATTGGAATTTGGAGCAGTGGAAGAAGGTTCTCATTACTGACGAAAGCAGAATGTGTTTGCATGGTGCCGACGGCCGTAATTTTGTTTACCGGCGACCAGGTGAAAGATATACATCATGCACTATGCGGGAAACAGTGTCATATGGAGGGGGCTCAGTTATGTTTTGGGCAGGATTCTGTTACGAAGCGAAAACCGAGCTTATATTCATAGAAAATGGATCCCTTACAGCCGCTAGGTATATAACGGAGGTTTTAGAAGATCATGTGATGCCTTTTACTGGGTTCATAGGAGAAGATTTTCTGCTTCTACAAGATAATGCTCGCCCACACACTGCTACATCAGTAAGGCAGTATCTTCAAGAGGTCGCAGTGTCTACTATTGCCTGGCCAGCGCGAAGCCCTGATCTCAATCCGATAGAGCATGTATGGGACCATCTCAAAAGAAAAGTTAAAAGTCGCGTAGTAGTCCCGAGCAACATTCAAGAATTAAAAAGCGCCTTAATGGAAGAATGGGAGTCTATTACACAAGATTATCTAAAAAAAGTGTGTCAAATCTCTGAAAACCCGATTAAAAGCTGTAATTAAAAATAGAGGCGGTAATACGCATTATTAAAAATCATAAAGCCAATGGAAATCTTTTAATTTTCCCATTAATTTGCGGCTTACATTTTTATACCAAACTCGCGAAAAATCATTAAATTTAATTTTCCTTTTTCGAGCAATAATTTTTATTTAAATTATTCAACGATTATAGATTTAGGTACCTAGGGTATACAGCTACCCATATATAATAGCAAAATTAATAAAAAAAATATCATATCTTAAGTTTGTCCATTTTCTCTAGGTGGCCCGATTTTTTTGCACGCCAGTGTATTAACATATATTAAGTATACAAATACAGATAAAAGGAAATATATTCTAATAACATCATCACATAACAAGCATGCGCTAGTGGACACTAAAACATAGTTAATAGAGGCGGCGGCGGCGGGAGGTAAGAGTGCTATCGCCCACACTAACTTCCGTCTTAATATATTTGTTGCTATTTTAATACTCGACGAGTGCATTATTATTCATTACTTGTATTTGCTTTAATGTTAAGCTTTATTTAAAAAAAATAGTAAAAAGTTTTTTCTTTTTTTTACATACCGAAATAAATAATAGAATGAGAATGAAAAGGATGCTTTGTAAAATAGAATACGTTTGTTCATGCACAATGTAAATATTTCGTTAGGAAACATAAAATATTCATTTGTCGATGTTGTGTGTGAATTTTACTAACTCTGGTTTATGAATGTAATGTATTACATAATATATTATACCGCTAAAAAGTTTAAGTAGTAAATTAATTTAGATTTAGAAAATAACGTTTGTATTTTATGCATAAAAAAATTGACGGTAAGTTAGTGTGTGGTGTATCGTATGAGCGCACCTTTCTTTAATGTGGTCTTTTTGCGTACTTTGCTAGAAATTTACTTTTATGAGACCGACGACGGGTACATTACGAGTATAGTGAAATTGTCCATCATCACAAAATTAATAAATGAGTACTATGTAAAAACAGGTGGAGTCAGAGGAAGAGAGTGAAAGCAGCGATGAGGAAGTATCTTCAGCTACTGAAGTATCGACAGACAGCGAGTTTGCACGGGAGGAATGCACTCCAGCTTGCCCTACCTCCCCTCCCGCCATATTAGTGACGGAGGCCACTCCGCCCGCACCTGCCGCGCATCCCGCACCCCCCGCGCCCCCGGAATATCCCTTAAACAGGACACGTTCTGCCGGCGGCCTCGCCACCAAACGAGCTCTAGAACTAAAAAGAAAGTACCTCCTTGGTGAACCATCTCCACCAACGGTAAGGAAATCTGATTCTACCTCACAGTTAGACACAAAATTGGAAGCCTTCAGATCTACTATAACGGAATTTCAAAAACTATTAAATCCCGCTCCTGTACAGACGCAAAAACCCCTTGTTACTTTTCAGATAGCAGAAGAAACAAAAATTCAGCCTATGCCAGATATAATTAAAAATCTGTGTAGTGTCGCACCTGTAGACTTGCTAACTAAAGGCGATTCGCCACTGTGCAAAAGTGATTGGCGAGAACCTATTAAAGAAGAAAAGAAAGAGCCAGAAATTGAATCAGACTCGCTTACGGAAGAAGACTCGTCGCATACTGAAACGATTCCAAATCAATTTGTTCCTAGAGTCGAAGTTCACGATGAAGGTGGTGAACTGATACAATTAGATAGCTTAATGATTATAAATAATAGCGTCGATGACAATGATGAAAAAGCCTCAGGAACGGCTACAACTACGGGTCCCACCATAGTCGCAGCGGACTCGGAATCGTCTGAATCCTGTAGGGATGCGACCACTTTAGCTTTAACTGAAACAGAGCTCTCAGATTGGGCAGCTGAAAGTGCTGTTCTAGACGATTGTGGCTTTGATGAAAAGGAAGATAGAAAGAGAAGCAAAAATCCCAGAAGTCTTAGTGGACCTAAACTAGTGCATGAAACGAAAAATATATCTGCTATTGCTTCACATGTCTGCGGCAGGACTAGTCCAGATCCTATTGTTTTTTCAAATGCCTTAGAACACTTTGAATTTGCTGATGAAGGTGATCAAGACCCGTTTATAGAAACTCCTACCACTCCTCGTAACGAGGGCTATATGGAGCTAATTGATGATGAATATGATCCTTATTTCCCTGCTAATGATAGATCTATGAATTTTATAGAAAGAAGTTTTTCAGAAACCACAATTAAGCCTAATGATATTATCGTCCCTGTTGAAGATGACAAACCAAGTGATTTTGATGACGTAATAAAATTTATAGACGATCAAGATTCTAAAACTGAAAGTATACCAAAATGTGATAGTGCAAAATCTTTATCACATGCCGAAATGGCACAAAATGACGCCTTTGATAAATCAAATACTAGTAGTGACAAAAAAGAAGATTCTTTGATTCGAGTTTCTGAGCTAAGCAGTGTGGACAACGATACCAACATAGATCTCAAAAGAGAATCGACGAGTATATCCGATACATCCCCACCATTAGAAGATGACAGTACAAGTAAAATTGACAAAAACGATGATGACAAATTAGAAAATGATACGTCTTTAGAAGATATTTCACCACCTCTAGCATCAGAAAAATCGAAACCACAAAGTAGTGAACGTTTAACTTACAATAATTTAAGTAAACCTGTGACATTTACAAGTCCTTCCAGTATTAGACTATATGCACCAGCCATATGTAGGTCTGCGAGTGAAACTTTTAGTAGAACAAACATTAGGCGGCCTAATTCTCCACCGCGAAACATAGACTGGAGCACGTCCTATCATTTAAGTTCAGATTCCGTATCCACTTCGAGTCCTAATTCTAAACATGAATCCATAGATGATAAAGTGCAGGAAATAAAAAAGGAACGAGAGGAACAAACCGAAGTGGTGCGGCGTTTAGTTTTGGAGAGATTAGGTAGTACCGGCCAGCGGGCGAATAAAAAGAGTACACGAAGGAATAGAGCGTCGCCTTTGAGCGTGATGCCTCCGCCCGTGCCGCCGCCGCCGGTGCTGGGCGAGCCCGCGCCGCTGCCGCCGCCCCCGCCGCGCCCCGCCCCACCCGCGCCCCCGCTCATGTCTCTGCCACCCGTCACTCCATCCTTCTCCGACCCGGACCTCACACACGAGCGCAGGCGCACAGGTATTATGAAGAGCATTTCGAATTATTTAAACAGACGTCTGGGACCTCGACATAAGGTAATTTACTATACTATCCTATTTTATTGCTTTTAATATAAGAATCTACGACAGTAAAATACGTACATAATTATGTCTTATTTTTTCAAATACAATAACTTGTGCACAAATATAATATTTACTGTGACCATCTCATTCGAGCACGCTGTTACGCATTGCATTTTACATAGAAAATGTGTTTGTCATACTTTGCTAATACAACAAACATAATTATATTTACTAGCATTATAAAGACACAAATACAAACTGTGAATATTGTAAATAATGGTGGTTGTCAATATTTATTTGGGGTAGGTGTCCATGTTTTGGCCCATCAATATTTTTATGCAACAGTTTAGGTTACGTTATAAAATTATAAACAAGCAGAGGACACCCAGAGTAGACTAACACTAGTTACATTTTCAGTGTGTCTCGGAGCCGGACCTGACGACGCACGTAAGCAAAGCATATCAAATACAATATCGTGAACTCGTGAGTCGCATGCTGTGTCCATCTCTCTCGCACACATCATTCGCTAACTGTACGTTGTCTTGTCTCGCTCAGTCACACCGTTACGAGCCGCTTGTGTTATCTTAATTTTAACATTGGATCATGCTATTGCTCCCATGATGGCAGACGGGCTCTTCCCTCTCTATTCTTCATTCCTGATAAAATTATTGTACATAATTCTTTTAAATTTACAAAAGTAATTAGATTTAATATAGCTCATCAGCAATCGTTGTCAATTCTTATATTGATTCTAAATTAACATTGTTGTGCTATTTAGAACACTTTATGGTAATTTTCTGTCATTCATACAAATCCTAAGTACATATGTTGTAATTTTTTCCCAACTTCCAGATCCAATGTGTCGTTGTTTTTTGTTGTTATTGCTTTCTATCGTTAAGGGCAAGTCCGAGCGATCAGTTCTAGATCTATTTTATTGTATTCGCTTGTTATCATAACTTTCAGCATCTTGTCTGCTAAGTGATATGTGCGCATATTAGTCTACGACATGTTAAAAATGGTACAAAATAGACATACTGCTCTTAAAATTATGTGCGATAGCTCATTGGATCCGGAATGACGCTTAGAAAAATGTGCCAAAAGCGTGTATTAGCACATAAAAAATAGCAAAAGTTATAAACAATTAAAGATGAAAAAAAAGGCATTTCGTTTTTTGACAATATTTCATAAACTATTAATATTTAAGAAATTTCAAAAAAAGATTCTAAAAGAGGAGGAAATTTCCAATAAAAAACTACTAACTCCCGGAACTCTATCTTCATAATTTATAATTTTAATTTAACGCTGAAAATAGGTATGCGCGCGACATTTTTAGGTTGCACGCGTGGCGTCAAAAGCGCTAAAAAGTAAAAAAAAATATTTATTCTTTGTTATGATAATTTTCTTACTTGAACAACAATACTTGGATTTTCAACCGACTTCAAAAAAGAGGAGGTTCTCAATTCGACTGTATTTTTTTTATGTTTGTTACCTCAGAACTTGCTTCATTTATTAACCGATTTGAACAATTTTTGTTTTGTTTGAAAGGGTATACTTCCAGATTGGTCCCATTTAAATTAAAAAAAAATACCACCCCTAAGGGTGGAAAAATAGCTAATGATGAATTTAACCTGCTTCTAATTGTCATATTGACTTGAAACTTTGCAAGTGTTTCTATTTTCATTGATAGTACAGTGGTTCGGTATTGTTGACCTGATCTGATGGTAAGGCCAGAAGGTGGATAGGTGAAACTCTTCAACGACTAATAGTAGATACTTTGAGTTTGGGCTTATTTTGTTTGATTTGAAAAGCCTAACACTTTAGAATTCTTACTTTGCTACTACTGTCTAGACTAAAAAGGGAAAAATAAAAACTATTTAACAAAAAAATAAAAACCGACTTCAAACAAATGCACTAAAAAGTAAAAAATAACTGATTGGTAGTTTTCATTTACTATACATACCTAATCAAATATTTTCGAAGTCGATGTGCTTTGGCTAAGTAATTAAAGCCTACCTATTAAATACATACCTAATCAAATATTTTCGAAATCGGTGCCAGCCCATACAAAGCAAAGCACACCGACTTCGAAAATATTTGATTAGGTATGTATAGTAAATGAAAACGACCAATCAGTTATTTCTTACTTTTTAGTGCATTTGTTTGAAGTCTGTTTTTATTTTTTTGTTAAAAAGTTTTTTTTTTCAGTTTTTGTTCAAGTAAAAAAATTATTATAAACAAAGTATAAATATTTTTTTAACTTTTATGGCGCGATCTTGTTAAGTATGTATGTAAGAAAGGCTCTACGAAGCGAAAATTTTTTACGACCTTTATTTAAACATTTTTTTTCACTTACAATTAAGACGGTAGTTCGAGAAAATTTTGTTAGTTAACAATTGTTTAACTTGTTGAAAAATTAACTTTAAGTAAAATTTCCAACGGGAATAAATTATTTATAGTGTTCAGAACACACCATAATTTTTTCAAATTTAAAAAAATATATTCAATACCTTAAATAAATTAATTAATGTGCCGTACTCGCTTTTGACGCGACGCGTGCAACCTAAAAATGTCGCGCGCAGACCTATTTTCAGCGTAAATTAAAATTATAAATAATGGAAATAGAGATCCGACGGTTAGGAATTTTTTATTGGAAATTTCCTCCTCTTTCAGAATCCTTTTTTGAAATTTCTTAAATATTAATAGTTTATAAATATTGGCAAAAAAGGAAATGCCATTTTTTTTCATCTTTAATTGTTTATAACTTTTGCTATTTTTTATGTGCTAATACACGCTTTTGGCACATTTTTCTAGGCGTCATTCCGGATCCAATGAGCTATCGCACATAATTTTAAGAGCAGTATCTCTATTTTGTACCATTTTCAACTTGTCGACTAGACTATATTATAGTGGTTACGTTCTGCATGTGTGAATGGCTTTTATAAATTATTATTTTTGTATGAACAATGTAATGCTTATTTGTCTGTCGATTATTATTTATAATTTCTTAACCTATCATGTGATATTATTAAATATGGCAACAATTCTTTGAGAATTACAATATTTAAAAGCGTAAAAAAGAACATACATATATTTAATCTTCAATGCATGCTACATACATGATGCTACTCTTTCTGTAAATAATTGCATTTGTTTATCAATTACATAATTTAAATTGTATTTTTGTTTTATTTCAATGCTCGTACGCATTTTATGTTAGCTGGTTGGAAATAATAAATCCATATCAAAATAATTTATATCAACGTAAATTAAAAAACTTGATAATACTTTCTCAGATTTGCGGTTTTTTGTAATTTTTTCGCGGATTTATTTTGATATTTGGTTCCCGACGTTTCGAATGCTTTATAGCAATCATGATCACGGGAGAGGAGAGACTAAGGTTTTAGACGTCTCAGAGATCATTATATAGTTGATATAGTTGTTACAAACAGCCGTGTCTAGGCTTTTTGTGGGTAGGTCTGTAACAACTATATAATGAACTTTGAAACGTCTAAAACCTTAGTCTCTCCCGGGAACAAAAAATCAAAATAAATTCGAAAAGATAGTTTTATTTAAAAAAAATGATGTTTGCCACAAAAATATATATTTAAAACTGTCTTTAAAGCTGGTGATGTAAAGTACGTAAATTAGAGTTTCCATTGTTAAATGGTTTAACAACGACATAATTTGAGCAACACTTAAATAATAAATATTTGTGTCATCGGTGAACAAAATAAAATATATTTGGTGTGACAGGAGCCGCACCAAAGCCGTCACCGCGAAGCCCATAAGTCGACGGGTACTCTGAACGCGCCGCCGGTCCCGCCGCCCCCTGTCTGCTACACTCCACCAGATATACACCAATCGCCGGGAGCAAGACCAGGTTATTTTCTTTTTTATATTCTCTTAATCATAGCAATAACGAAGAATGAGGATCCAATGCCGAAATCAAATGTTTGTGTGGATTTGAATTTGGTACTTATTTTTCTCTGCATTAAATTTAAAAGAGACAAACATTTAATTTCGATCTCTAATTATTTTATAATTTTAGAACTTTAATGTGGCATGATTTTTATTAAAATACATATGTACAACTACCTCTTATTCATTATTTGCTACTAATGTTCTTTGCATAATATGTACTCACTCTCATAATTTCATCATAATATACAACATTGAATATTATTTTCAGTTAAGCATTTTGCGCAGAGCAAATCCATTTCTCGTTTCAATAACATACGCTATCTCATTTGCAGAATTATTAATTATATGAAATTAAAAGTAACTGAATTCTTAGTAGTAGGAGAGCCCAAGAGGGGATTTTTGTAGTTACTCAAGCGCGGCAGATTAACATAGAAGAGGTTACCTTGCACTCTATTGAGTACTATAAAATTGACTATAAAGTTTGTGATGATTTTTGCCTCTTCGGCTTGTGCAAATCGGCAGATTATTGAATTGGACACTTATCAGGATGCGACTAGCCTACCACACCTTAATCTGACGGTTTCAAGTATTTCTACCTTATCAAAACATTTTTAAATATTTTAATCGGCTTCCCTAGACACGCCCCTTTATATAGAAGACTTATATTATGGTGAAAGTACTCAATAGAGTGCAAGGTAACCTCTTTTATGTTAATCTGCCGCGCTTGAGTAACTACCAAAATCCACTCTTGGGCTCCCCTACTATAGGGACTTTGGACTGCTTAAGAAATAATTTACTATAGTTTGACATACATACTATAGTTGACATAACTTGTGAAAAATCACTAAAAAGTGATTTATGATTTAAATGGTCTTTTGATGTTGTAAATGCCAATTCTGAATGTAGACAAATAGGTGTGATTAAAAGTTAGTTCATTTTGGAATAACATTAGATTATCATTTTTTCTCACCTTAACCTGATGTTTAGTGTCTTTTTACGTAAACAACATAACATAAGACCATATTTAGTGATAATAAAACGATGAATTGGACAAAAAAAAACTAATTTGTTCTGTGTGTGATGCAATTTTAAAACGTCGGTCCAGTGTTAACCAGAATAACTGTAACTGTTTTAAGTATTGAATATAATTGTGCACGTGACGTAAGTGACTTAATAATTTCATGAGCTTTTGCGTCTTGCATAACAATAACACTCCATGTAAACAAGGAGGGAGCGGGGTGGGTGCGGGGCCAGGGGATGAGGACGAGCGCGATGCCATGCAGCTGTGGTTCGAGGCGCGCTGGGCGCGGCTGGTGGCACAGAGACGCGCGCGCGAGCTGGCGTCCGACGCCCGGCTCGCGCGCCTGCAGCGACGTCTCTCCCGCCCCCTCTCGGGTACGCGCCCACTGTACCATACTGCACACGTTACAACAGACTACTTGCTAATCCACACTCGCTTAACTGTCTATAGTCTATTCGCGGATTCAAACTGATAGGGACATAAAACTGTCTAGCTCCGCCCACTAACACTTGCAACTGGTTTGAAATCATAGGGCTCGTTGATGTTGCTAATACTTTAGTAAGGAATTATTATTATAATTTGTAATAAAATAAAATCATCATATAAATAAAATCATAATTAAAGTAGAATCAACTGATTTTTATATATTTGTATGCATAATTTTCACTTTCCGGCGTATCACTGTCATCTCCTACATCGATAATAAATCAGATAACTACACGAGAGACGTCTGAACGGTACGGAATGCAACCACGGACTAATTATGACTTGCATTGTAATCGCGGCCTAAGGGTCTTATCTGCAACAAATCACGTGGAAACGCAAAATCTCAGTTCTTGGTTCATTTGGCGAATACAGTATAGGCAGGACAATCATACGGTGACCGGTGCGTGCGCACACTGTACTAATATCCATACAGTCCAAAATTTCAGACAGGCCAATCGTGCGGGGAGACGCTCCCGTCTCTAATACTTACTTTTATATGACAGTCGGCAAACTGCTTACAGTTGATGGATATAACTGTAACTTGCCAGTGAAGGAGTTATAGTGTTTTACCTTAGAAACCGGTCCCTATGAAAATTGATATGTTTAGACAATTCTGCATTTGACAATATTTCAATTAAAATCAATAGGCGTTCTGTACTGTATGTACTGTGTAACGGGTGTACTATACGTAAATAAATGCTGTATGTATGTAACCGACATTCAAGTATAAGCCAGCCTCAGTCTTTCATTAGTACGTGGATTTATTAAGTTAAATGATTTTATAATATGAAATAGCTTAGGTCTGTAAAAAATAACATCATTATATCTTTATTGACTTTTTGCATGCTTCCATTCGTAAATATTGCATTTCGTTTTTATTTACATTCATTTTCATAACTTTCTTTAAGCTATCGTCATGCACCGCTAGCATGTATTAATATATATATATATATATATATATATATATATATATATATATATATATATATATATATATATATATTGGAAACGATAACTTATTCGATAATAAAATTCCGTATATTTAAAATATTGTAACTAAACTTATAAATATCTAGCGGAGCAGCAAGCGGCGACGGTGGCCGAATTAGTTCAAGTGTCTGCGCAACGCCACGCCCATCTCGCTTTAATGGCGGCAGACAGGTAAAAACGTTTATTTTACTTAATATTTAAATTGAAATATTTATTATGTGTTGTAATTTTAAGTAGGTATATTTATAAAAAAATGGCTTTGATGTTTTAAAAGAATTTTATATAGTCATATATTTTAATATAAACTAAAACTGTTTATACTAGATTATAAACTTCCATTAATCTCGTTAAAATGTGTTTTGCAGAAGACGAAATGCTGCTAGCGGCGGAGTTGGCGGCTAAATGCGGTTTCATGTTATTTGGGCCTTTATAATAGAGATTTTTTATATCGAACAAAGTATGATCTATCATATTCTGTTGGACATATAAACTTATATAAAATATAAAGACACATTCAATATAATACTAGAATGAGTATTATCATTAGACACAGCTTTATTTGTTTAGTTTCGATCAGGTAATAATAAAAAAAATAGAAACTATAAAGATGCAAATTTGAAAAATAATATATTTTAGTGTTTAACTACTGAAAAATTAAGCAATGTATAATATTCTAAAAAGTTCTTAAATACTAACATTTTTATAAGCAACCCTCAAAGCCTTTTAAAAACTCCTTGACAAATGTCACAAAGTGCTATAAATTTTTCACGATGTAATAGCAAAAATTAAAAACTTAGTGACATATCCAAACAGCACACAATTTCTATATCAAAGTATAGGAGACTAAGGCTGTGACAGACGGATGGACAATTAATGATCTAGAATCTAGATGTTAGTGGATATTTCAATTGCAGTCTTTTATAAAAGATATATTCGAGTTTTATTAGTGATTGGTGGAAGTTATAATATATGTATATGCACCAGACATATCGTATGATTCGTCATTATATAAAGGGCTTTGTCTGTTAGCAAATACTTGTTGTTATGTAAAATGACGAAAGCAAATTGGAAAACATTGAATTGTAAAGTACAAGGTTCAAAACTGAATGACCAAATAGAGTCGGATCTGTTACCAAGTCTGGATTTATCGTCAAATAGTTTTATTCTGTAAGCTTTTATTCACTCTCTAATCGTATTTCCTTATTTGACAAAATTAATTAAATTCAGAAGCATCACTAATTTGCCTTCTGCACTTCACGAACCAACGTGCGTTTCCAAATAGACGACGCTGTTTGTATAATTACGAATTATGCACTATGCCTGCAACATAATTAAGTATATTGCTAAAAAAATATGTCGTAATTGTAAATGTATAAAACATATTAAATTTTATTTACCCATAATAACATCAATTGATTTCATCCTTATTGATAGCAAAATGCCAGTTTACACCCGACATAACGATACTGTGTTGTTCTCTATGGTCTAGTGACTGTTTAGTATTTATGCGTGCGTATTGTTAACTGTAAACGTATGGCTTCTCCCTCTTAACATGTTACATCGTGCATTTGTCGCTTAAAAATGAAGTCACTTTTGCTTCCAATGATCACAATAAGCAAAGTTAGTATAAAGTTATATTGTAATCTTAATATAACGTTCTTGAAAATCTTATCTCTAATATCTTTGAATGCTTTATTTGATCATTGTATAAATTTATATATAATAATTACGAGGTCTGTGCCTCGCCCAAGCTTTAGGGGATTTTTGCGCTGTATAAATTGACTCATTAAATTGAGTAAAAATGCACAAAATCCCTACAATTAGGTGTAAACGGTGTGCTAGATATGCCAAAAGAGTATATTATTATAAATCTATAGTATAATATAGTTGTATGAAACATGTGCTAAGTATTACGATCTGTTATGAAATGAAACATTAATTCTGCAACTTTCTGGAAAAGAAATACAATAATTACTCTCATTCGAAAAGCTTTAGTTCTCTATATGATGAAATCAAGTACAATAAAGTGTTACTTTTATAAAACCTAATAGTGAGAAAAGTTAGTAAAATGTAACAATTATATGATGCAAATATTTACAAACGGTAATCAGCAGATTCCCTAAAGAAATTTAAATGACTAATATTGCACTTGATGCAAACAGGGAATATTGATCGTAAAATATTTTTATGATACCATTTAGATTGTTATATAGAGTATTTTTTCTACAAAAATAGTATAGAGCATTTCTATATGTAGATGTTTTGGTAATATTAGTAAAGTCGACTGGCACTTTGGCTAACTCACACGTCGCTTGCAATAACGCTTTCTAGGCATGTTCATTACTAAAGTTAAGTATAATATATTATAATTAAACATTTAAAGTATTTTTATATAAAACATTTGCTACTGATTCTGTCTTTAATATAACAGTATTTTTACTGTTATATTAAAGACAGAACCAGTTAAAAGATTACTAACTTGGTATGTATTGGGGTTTAATAGATTTCGAAAACTGTTTTTAAATTAAATTTCAAATGACCTCTCATTGTCTGTCGTACGATGGATCCTAAAATAGATAAATACATTTTTTCAACTAGAAGACATTATTGAAACGTCTTAAATCTACATAATTTAATATAAATAGCGACGATCAATCAAATAGTGAATTGAAACATTACACATAGTTTTATTATGATTTATAAAATAAGTATTTTTATTTGGTATATATAATTCTGGATACGAATGTTTATTAAGTTGCGTTACAAGCAGGTCGTCCTACAAAAAGATATGTTTTGCACTTTTTATACCTGGCGCGTTGGGAATTATCTATAATTTGCTTCATATAAATTGTACGTAATGTTACAGCTAAACGGGAAGTTTGTTGTAGTTAGAAACCAGCTTCACTAGTAACTTAAAGTTTGACCACCTATTTTTGGGAGTCTGTTATTTTATAGACCAAAAACATTTCTTTATAATTATATATTCAAATCAAGTAATAACATGAACAGTCCCTATACTACAATTTTCTGTTTTAACTGTAACATGAAACAAATCTGTCCCTATTTTTATTATAACACTTATATTTAAAAACGCGTTTCTTTAGTCACAGAAGTATTCATATATGTAAAAATGAAATCATAGCTACCATTTCAGAGTTTTAATATTCAATGGATTTTGATTAATTTTTATAGATTATTAATTTTTACACAGAAAGTATTGCGTATTTCCTTTTACAGATTTTTTATACTTGTTACAATTTTGTAAGACCCTAGTGGATTATGTTATGTTCAATTATATATAGGAAATTAGTGGGGCGAATATTCCGGTTAGGTAAATCTAAACTCAGAATATTCATAAAACTAGACTAGCATTGAGGAATGAATTTTAGGTTTTTTTATATTATTATGTTTTTAACATTGGCAGGATATAAAATTCATATAAAATAATGTACCTAATGTATGTATATGCATTTTAAATGTACAAAAAATATTTTCCCTCTTATTTAATTTTAACACAAACAATTTTATACATTTATGTTAAGTTTTTAGGTCATTTTATAAATGTTAATAAATTTAAAGGTAACTAAGACTCACTGTAGAATTAACTGTAATAATACCTAATTAATGATCTCTTCAGTCAGGGAAGTTCGGTCTAGTTATTCCTAAGCTCGTGTTAATAATAATCGATTGTTTTACAAAACCTTCTACATCTGTTTTTTATTTGATTTTATCAGTGAAATTTTGTTTTTTTTAAATATCTTGTATTTATGGCCTAACACGAAAATAGACTTAAGGCCAGCGCAAGGTTCTACACAAAGCAATGTACCTCCTTTTTGTATAAACAATTTTAAATTAATAAAAAAATATTATATCATATACAGCTTTTTATTTCATACCTTATTCAGTAATTTAAAATGCAATTAATTTATCACAAAACTTTTATTTCCGTTACATGAATAAACGCCAATATGTCACAAACATTGGTGCAAGTCAATTTCTATATATTATAAATAATAACGTGTAACAAAATATACATGTTTAATGGATAAATACTTTTCGGTCGAGAATATTACGAATTGTTTTGCTAGTTATGTTAAATATTTACACTCAAATCGTGAATTAACATAATGGGCATTAATTTTGAATATAATTAAATCAATGATTATTATTGATATCTTATTGCCTGTTCAATGGCACGTTTTATATGAAATTGTAAATATTATTTTTCGATCGAAAAAATTGTACTCACTAATATAAAAAAAATGTTAAGTAATTAATAAAGGAATATTTTGTACCTTTCAGAAATTAATATATTTTTTCTTTGACGCAAATAACTACAAATATGAAATAAGTAGATATATGTCGAATTTTAAATTATAAGACATTCTAAAAATACATTTGATTTTGTTTAATGAATAAACAAGTAAAAAGAATATATCATAAAAGTAGAAATTAAAAGATTAAAATATTGATAGTTGTTGAAATAAAGTTAGAACGCCAAATCAATGATTAACTTCAATCTAGTCTTAAAATCTTATATTTACATTTAATATTCATCATTGTCTAATGTCTATGCATATAATAAACTTGTATTTCACGTAAATAAGTATACTAATACACGTAAGAAAAGATCAAGGTAATCATAGTAAAGCAAAAAAGATTTAAAAAACATATATAAAAGTACGCAAAAAATACGGCAAACTAGTATGTATACAGTAAGTATACTGCAGTATTGGATTATTCAAAAGTTGTACATATCGATGTACATTTATATTACATCAGTACCAGAGTTAAAAAGTATCTACTAGTTTCGCGTTACCTACGTGTAACTGTACATGTGTTCTTTCTTTACCTTTTATGTACCAATTTTGAGTATCACATAAGTAAATCTGATAGCAATTATAAACAAAAAATACTGTGCGAACTCTACATTTCGACGATTCTTTAAAAAATAAATTGATGATGAATCAATAAACAATGTATGCTCAAAAATAAATTACTTTGTTTATCTAATTGTTACTATATAAATTAAAATTGATGTCCAAGACAAATTGTTATAATTGTCCGTCCTAAAGTAACTCTTTCGTAATATTTTTAAATTACCTTAAACATTAACTTCACCAATATTTTTCGAATATCACTCAATTAATTTCACTAAAGACACATTAAAATTTTCTGCCAGTAAAGTAGTAAGACAGTAAGTAATATAGAAAATTTTGTATATTCTGTCAACAATACCCACTGCAATGAAATAAGCACTGAAGTCATTAACTAAATGCTGAATTTTTGGTCTGAGCCAATTTATAGTTTCCTGATTAATGAGAATATTATTTTGAATCTGAGAAACACGATCAAAACTATGTTTTCATACATAACATATACCTAATATATACATTATAAAATATGTGTACTCAGTAAGTTTTTTTTATTATGGAACTAAGGGGGCAAACGGGCAGGAGGCTCACCTGATGGAAAGTGATCACCGCCGCCCATGGACATCTGCAACACCGCAGGGCTTGCAGATGCGTTGCTGGCCTTTAAGGAAGGAATACGCTCTATTCTTGAAGGTGGCCAGGTCGTAGCGGTTTGAAAATTGTTTCACGAATTGTTATCAATGTCTTAATATACATTAACATATAACTAAAAAAATATATTTACAAAAATAAAAAACCTGACTGCATAAAATGCGATCTAAAAATACTGTAGTAATCAGTATTTAACTTATTATTTAACCTGAGCTAATCTGTTCAGTACTTTTTGCGTGAAAAGTAAACAAATATATAAACATATAATAATATATTAATAAACAAACAGATAAACATTTTAATAACTATTGTTTTGTTGACTATATTCTGTACACTATACGTTACAGTCATTGTTTTTAAAAAAAATTTCATGTACAGATTTCGCTAAATCACATTAATTTTATTTAATGACGTATATATTATAATAGTTAATATTATGCAACACTTGGGACCAATGATTCAGCCTTTTTACTATAATATTTCAGAGCTTATTCAATTGAAATGATTGCCGTTATGTGGTTTTTAGTTCATATGTTAATTTATCAATATCTACAGTTTTATTATATTGACCTAAATGTAAGGAAATATTTTCTAACATAATATGAAGATGCAAGAATTAGTGACAGGTGACAACTCTTACACAAAGTTGAGCAAATTAATTATTACGAAAGTCATCTTTAGTTTGTACGCTAAAGTAATATCAATATCTTATATTCTACATAAATGTTACATTAATTCCTAATTAATAAATATTACTTATCACCATCAGAACTTATACAATTGGTAAATTACTGTAATTAGTGATAACCTAGAAAACATCAGTACATGAAGAGAATATCTTTTTCTGATGTATGATAAGTAAAGATATATTTGGATTAGCTAGGTTTATTCGATTAAGTCTAGGCGGTCTTATCCTTGTCAAAAATACGTAAGTCTGCCCAGACAAATTTTAGTTAGAGAAGGTAATTGTAGCTTAATATCTAGGTTTGTGGTTGTGGTGGGGGCGATGCGAGGGCTGCCAGTCGGGGTGGCGCGGCTCGCGGTGGTGGTGGTGGTGGTGGTGTCGCCGCTTGTCCCGGGCGTGCGGCGCGGGGTACACGTCGGAGACCACCAATTCTGAGCCATCTTTTGGGGCTTCCCTCTCGTGCCTCCTGTGACCATGTTTTGCGCCGGTGGCCTCGTGGAGCTCCTCCCACGCCTGCCTGTAGTATCTGTTGAGACCGCTCCTCGACTCGGACGATGACGAATCCAGAGAAGCAACGGTATTGCAGTCGGGAGACACGTGGTGCCTGTAGCGCTTACCATCGTTTTGTTTCCTGCTAACATTATTTTTATTTTAATGTTTATATTAATAAAATAAATTTGGTTTGAGATAGCTAAGCTTTGTAGAAGCAACATCACTTTAAAAGTAGTAGTATTCTCAAAACTTCTAATTTTAAGAGAAAGTCTAATAAAACTTATATGACTAATTAAATAACAATTTTGAGGTGTTTAATTCATGTTGTTCAAATTGTAGTTATTTGTGGTGCTTTTTATTTCGTGCTATATATTGTTGTACCAAAATTATGTTTCTTTAATAGTTTCTTGAAAAGCGTGCTTCTTTTTTATGTGTGGAGTGCAAATGATCACAATTGCAAGGGCTTCCTATAGATTATTTTATGCTCCAAGATTCAGCCATCACATTAGACACCGTGCCATTTTGAAACAATGTCTTTGTTTCTGGTGCATTGTGCTTCGTGCAATGCGGAACAACACGGTGGCTGCTATTTTTTTTTAAATCTACAGTATTAGGTATGAATGTAAACACGAAAGAGGATTTAGAGAAATTCTTAAGTAGGTATATAATATATGAACGAAAGAATGGATAGTAAAAATGACTTGATTTTTATGTATACCGTATACATAAAAATCAAGTCAGTCAAAAAAAGATTCGTATACAGTATACGAATTATTTTTTCACAGCATTTATCAAAATAAAGATTTGTATAGACGAGCCACCATGTCAGCCGCGTGCGGTACCTTAAAATATAAACGCACTGGCTATAAAGGGTTGGAGAAATGGCCCGCGCGGTGTGTGAGACGATGAGCGCGGGCGAACTCGCGCCTCCCGACCTGCTGGTCCGGGAATGGTAGTGCCAGCAACGTGTACCAGCGTGATGGAAGTTCACGGACCGGCGCCTTTTCACGCTTGCGATCCCCACTAATGGTCATTAGCAACGTTTACTATTTTTCGTACAGCATTTTCTTAAATAATATCTTTAAATGCCATCCAGAAGTAAATGTATGGGTTAAATGTACTTATGAAATAAATTGAGTTGTAGGTAGTTAAAAAAATTATATCTATGCTCCAAAATCCATTTCACGGCTTGATAATATCGTGGTAACCTAACTTGTATACCTATTATGTATGTAGTTATTTAAATTTTAGATGATGTAAAATGTGACTGAGATATGAAGCATTATTAATCGAAATTTAGCATTTATATTTTAAGGTACTTCATACCTCGTGGCTGAATGTATTTACCTTTGGTAGGTAGTTAGGTACACCTTAAACTTATCTAAGATTTTAAACTACAAAATAGCCATAAAAAAATTTGATATATGGGTTATGGGCAAGTTTAATAAGCTGTATGGGACTTACCTTCTAACTAAAATGACAATCGTTGTAATTATTGCAATAAGGAACACCAAAGCGCCGAAAGCGGCCAACGCGACGACGGCACCGATATTAAGGCGAGCTCCGAGCGTTTCGCGACGGTCGCCGTCCACTGGCTGCGGCACATTCACGCGGGGAGTCTGCTCGGCTCTTATATTGTTGCCACTACCAAATACCTAAAACAAAATTTATTTAGCACATTTCTTAAGTTAAAAAAATATTAGTCATATTGTCACCTTAAAAACTTACCTGATTTTCTCTTGGATGGCTCGCTACTATGATATGAGGAACGTGACTTGTAGGCGAGTTTTGAGAATCTGAACTTGTTACTTTCCTTGGAGGCGGTTTTTCATAGGCCTTAGTCGTTGTTCGTTCTGTTGTCGTGATCCTAGGACGTGGTCGTCTTGTTACTTCAGAAGGAACGAATGGATTAGGGGATGACAGCGGTCGCTGAGTCCTGGGCCTCGTTGGTAAAATTAATCGAGGAGTTGTAAATGCAGGTGTAGGTAAAGGTGTTGTCGATATTGGAGTTGTGGATGGGGGTAGGACTGTAGTCGTCGTAGAGGTTGTCGTCGTGGTACTAGTTGTGGTTGTACGCTCTTCAGCTGTTAATAGAATTAATAGGGTTTTACTACATATTTACTAAACGTTAACATTAATCAGGTTTCATTTAAAAGTAATAGCTTACGGTAACAGTGAGGAGCAGCTGTATCCCACAGCCCTGTAGCGAGACATTTTATTTTTTGTACACCGTGGACTTCGAATCCCTTCGAACATGTATATTCCGCTATAGAGCCGAATACCGAAGCATTGTTAGTAATTGTCACACGACCATTCTGAATCTGAGGCGGATCTTCACATTGAATAACTGTTGATTAAATAAATAGAATTAAAAGACAATTTCGAAATTAATAGATAATTAGTACCTACCTATCAAATATGAGTGTGAGTTTATGTATATGGGAATGGGATTACCTATGGAACTTGTCAAATTATGTTTAGATTATGTTTTTTAGATGAGGTATCATGGCTTATGTCGGGCAAGTAGCAAAAAATACCGCTTCGCGTTCTAGGCATGTGCTGTATAAACGGTTAATATAAGTAACTCGATAATAGTTATGTCGATCATAATCCTTATTTAAATAAATATAGTTGTTTTATACATTTTTTTATTAATAAATACCTAATGTTTATCTTTAAACTACAAAATATTTCATCATCAAAAGTAAATACTGTATAAAATAGATAAAAAAATGCTGTTTACAGTGCGCCACTCGCTTGCATAAATTAGATGACTAATTGAAAATATAAACTTTCAGTGATTCACGAGTTTTATGAAATTTAAGTGTAATTTTTTTGGTCAATGGTACAAATATACTTCTATAGGTATTAAGATGGCGATGGTGGCCACGTGAGCGAAGTCGTGGGGAAAGGCTACAAAAAGTCAATATGTGCTATAAGAAGACAAGCTTAGAGGTTCTACGAGTACATGTTCACAAATTACCTAAGTCAAGTGTAAAGCAGCTGCTAATATAATATAAGTACACGAACTCAGAACGAAGCCGCAGATAGTACAAAGAAGTACAAGTATAATAATAATAGTTAGATGAAGTATAAAGTTTATTAAAGTTTATAAAATTATACATTCATAATATATAATGCAGCAGTTGCACTGACCTTCACAACGTGGCGGAGGCCCATTCCAACGCTCGTCAATATCGCAAACAAGATGAGAACGACCTGCCATTTCATACCCAGGATCACACGAGTACTGCACGTGGGACAGATACGATACCGAACCGTTCAACAGCTCGTAGCCTCCATGGGCTATTTCTGCGGGAAAACCGCATTCTATTCCTGATCACAAAATGTGTTCATTCAGTTTAATTCATTCTGTGTTATATATTTAGTAATAACACAAAAAATAATCATTCCACAAAACATAATTATTTAAAACATTAAATAATTATTTAATTGTTTAATATTTTTACTATTTCTATGTTCAAAAAGCGAACTTAAAAGAGAACAAGTTGACTTCGTATTTCGCTGACTGCATAATACTATGTTCCTTCGTCGACTTCGTCGTCGGGTGTTACGCAGTCGAATTTCTTATTTTTATAAATATTTTTATCTATTCAAAACCTATCTAGGACGCACCCGAGCGAAGTGAGGGTAAGTCGCTAGTTATAATATAAAAGTAAATTGGTAAATATGTTGACACGCTTACTTTTACAAACAGGTGGGAATTCGTCATAAAACCCGGTGTCTAAGCACGTCCTCACAGTCGGGCCAACGAGCAGATTTCCTTCGTCGCAGGAATATTCTACCGTAGCTCCAACTTCAAAGCTCTCTGTAGTCATCGTAGAATTGGGCGGCTGTTCAGGTCTGCCGCATGCTTTAGGCTCTACAAAAGAATAATAAGGGTAATAAATGAATCTCACGGTCGTAGATATTATAAATATATACCTAAAAATAATCTAAGTCATAAACTATAATATACCTAAGCATAAAATCCACGCTATTCACTTCAGCCAAAATAAAATCGCATTGCAAAACATTCGCGTGGCAAGAATGTAAAATGAACTTACGGTGTTGACAAATATAGTTCAGTCTCGATTGGCAATCTGTGTCGGCCCAAAGCCAGCCTTTACTGCCATCGAACCTAGCGCAGCCTTCACCGCCGCCCGGTGCGTTCCAGAAGGAGACTGTCACATCATTACCGTTTACCCACTTCCAATTATTTGGATCTTGTGGGTCGCGGACTGCTCCCATCCAGTACTGACTGCTGCTATCGCTCCTAACAATCATATTTTTGAAGTCAATAATAAATATTTATTGTTATTGAAATGTTATTATAATGTAATAATTAATAAATACAATATACATGTAGGTATATTTTTTTAAAATGTTGTAATAGTTTCATAAATATTGAGTTTCTTTTTAGTATGCAAAGCCAATAAAACTAAATGCAGTCAATATTTTCTTAGAATTTACGATGGTATGTCAAACAATAGGAAAAAGAGCAAAGCACAATCAAATTTCAAATTCGCAAAAATGATGTCAGATGTTGATTATTTATTTAAACAATATCATGCAGCGTTACAGTTTTGGTAGACAGCGTTACAGTACGGAGAATTTTTGTTTCGACACTTTAATTTACCTTTAAGTATTTGGTCGACTTGAAAAAAATAGGATCTACACAATTCGGTGTATAATAATTTTCATGACCCTTTTTTTATCAAGAAATCTTTGCCTTCAGGGTTTTTTCGTAAATATTTCAAGATAAAATTACACCGCTATGAATGGAATAATTACTTTTAAAATAGTTTTGAAGTAGGTCTACTGTTTAATACATGAATAATGATTCCTTGATATTTTATAGGCTAGTGACTCACCCTCGCTCCGCTCGGGTTTGTACCTAGATACGTTTTAATGGTTAGTATATAGATTTCTCAGAGATGAGATATTTTCCCGCAGTAAAAAGTATCCTATATGTTGATAACCAGCTATCGTATACAAAATTTCATCAATCTGTCCAGTGGTTTTCTCGTGATGCGTTCCCAGACAGACAGACAAAAATTCTGAAAACTATAGATTCGGCCTCTGTATCGATAATAATGACTATTTCAATAAGATTTATATTTCGTAATAGGTATATTATGTGAACAATTGTTCAAGCATTTTGTAGGACGGGATTCCGTTGCAGCACGGTGTCCAATCACGCTAACGGGCAAAAATGTAATAGTCAAATGGAAGACCAGAAATTGAGTCGAATCAACTCGCTCTGCTTCGCATAGCGGATCTGTAATGGATCATTCAACTAATAAGAACTTGTGTGCTGATTTTTCTCGATAACTGTACCACTATGAAAGTCATTTACCTAATGGACTATTAGAGTGACGTAAAATATTAATGGGTAGAAAGGGCACAATATCTTTAATATTGGGCATAATAACTAAATATTTGTAATCAGTCTTAATTTAATATCGATTCGTCGGTATAATGTATTCTCTCGATTATAAATTATACATACAATATTATTAGCCATTAAGGCACACAAGCAAATTTACTAAAACAATTTCTTGTTATGCTATCAATCACTGTCACAGAGATTGAGACAATATTCGCAGATGAACATAACATACCCTTTCCTTATACGTACGAGTATAACATCAAATTCGCATTAACACAATAACGTGTAATAAAATTTATTTCAACACTTTCAAATAGCTTATGAGTTCAGTGTTTGCTGTTGTCAGATGTATTGACCGTAATCCATCTTTATTGCAACACAAAGTGATATAGTGCAAAGATGTAAGTAATCATGTTCGATATGTTTACGTACGAAATTTTATTTATATCTTACAAAAGTACGCGCAGCTAATCTCAGATTTATGTTTGTCTATTTACTTACCGATGTCTTCGCCATAGTTCCCAACTAATAAAACCTTGAAGAGCTGGATTACTTTCATCCACCAAAGTACCACCTCTCGAGCGACAAAAGGCAAGAGAATCTCTAAAGTTTGCTGGCTGCCGATCATAGAATATATAGCATTTGCCATTATAAGTAGCAGTGCTGCCTGGAGGCTGATCTCGAAATTGTGGACATCTCTCTATTGGCAATGCTTGGTCCGTGTAAACAAAAGCTTCACAAATAGAAAGTTGGCTAGGGGTTGAGGCCTCTAGGTGGACGCTAACGAAAGCTCCGGGCATCGGAGGATTGCAAGGTAGGAACAAAGGTTGTCCTTCTTCAAGAAAACCCGTAAATCGATTACAAATAGGATTTGTTCCAAGATCTGGCCGATTGTTTCCAACTCTTACTACGATCACCGCTGGCTTATTTACTCCTGAAATAACATGAAATAATTAACAAACGTGACAATTCAATATAAACGTAATAAATTTTAATTAGATGCAATAATTTAGATATAAATTTTTCGCACATATGTACATATACAATAAGCTTTCTTAGAAATATTTTCATATTCTACATATTTTATTAGATATACATAAAAAACATTCATATGACAGCAATCTCGCTGCGTCCTGCATTTGTTTTGGTGTCTCATAACTTTCACTTGAAGGTAATCATTTGCAGTCACTGAGGCTTGTCCGCAAACTGTTTATAATACGATATTATTAAAATAATAAGAATTGTAAATGCCCCTCTGTTCAAATAAAATTGTTGTGGAAAGCTGTAAATCCCACCGCATTTCTACTTGAGAGCAGTTACGTTTCACAAGTTATGCAGCTTATACTTAGACGTACTTTGTCAATAACTATAACTATCCCCCTGACATGACACATTTTGTAATATGCATATATTTATATATGTAAAAATATAACATTAATAATATTTATTAAAATATTGTATCACAAAATGTATAACTCGTTGAGTTGACTCTACGGATGTTGATTTATTGAATATATATATTTTTTTATCAACAATAACAATGCGTTATTCCGTTCCAATTGGAAAATGGTCAATGCGTGGAGAGTATTATTTTAATTAGTAAATTAACGCTTGCGAGTGACTTCGAGCTCTGGTGAACATATGGGTCGAGGAAGACAGACGGTTCTTGGCAGACTTAAAGAGCAACGCTCAGCTAGACGTGAAGTATTATGTTTATTAAGCCGTTACTAATAGTATAGAGGTTATTTTCAATGTACACTGATAATAAGTTATATAGTTAAGCTTTATTTAATAATATGGAATAATATAATTATAAAATTAATGTATCCCATAAAAATATAATACATTTTATTGAATTATTAATAAACTTACTTTATTTTTCCCAGATATACTACTACTGATATTAATCACTAATTAATGATTATTTCTTACCACAACATGGCTTTCCAAAGTCAAGCCTCACGAGTTGCACCATATAGGGCTCGAGTAAGTTGACGTACCACCAAGGCACTCTTTCGGATTTGGTTAGTGTACAGGTCTCTGCATTGAAAGCGACGGCAGTGCTTCCATCGAGTGCTCTTTGGGGCACTCCACCATCTTCTGTAGATATTTGCATAGGAGCTTTACCGGCCGCGACGTTGAGTACTGTTGGCAAATGATATATTTTTTAGTAAATGATCTATTTGAAATTTGTCTGTCTGATCGAATGAATGAATCTGTGTAATTGTTTTAAAAACGGGTCTTTAGATTATGAAGTATCATCTATCTGTCTAAGTTCAATCACTCGAGAACTATTCCAACCAAAGGTCAAAAAGCTTCAGCTCCCTTTTCTAAGTGCTCTTATATTATGACAAGTAGAGGTCATGTGTTGTAGTTATGGACTAAATACTACTAGAGGAGACTTAATTAAGTACAATAACAAATTTATAAAATATTTTATTATTTACCATTTCTATGATAGTGCGGACTCTCAAACAATAGTCGTTACATTTTAGAGTCTATCTGCGGAAACATCAGAATGGATTTTAATTGTTTTATTTATTACACAACTGTAAGAAAGAGTTAAAAGACAAATTCATGTAATTTTGATTCTTAATGGTTCCGGTTCCTTGTTCGGCGAAAATGATTTTGTAATGGATGTGAACTAATGGAAATATACACATACGTATTACTTATGCAAGAAACAAAATCACATATTATGTTTTAACACATTCATCAATTGCTTATTATCTATAAATCATTATAAAATATTGATAGATGTCGTATACACAACATAAGGGAAATTTTTATGTCGTGTCTTTCCGGTTTCCCATAGCAATGTTCACTTCGTGGTGAAATAGATCCGTGGGTGTCACATGTGTCACGCTCTATATGTTAAGATGTACCCGCATAGCCATGACAAGTAGCTAAGTAGGAGCACGGTCGCGGTTGCTCGCACGCTTCTCAGTTTTATTGACACCTGCGACTGCAGCCATTGGGTCGGGTCAATAATATTAGTAGTGTCATATAACAGAACTGGGTGTATGAAAAAGTGTAATATAACATAACGTAAAATGGTTAGTTAATCTCATTGAATAAGTAGATTTAATTATATTATAGGATATTAAAAAACCTTCAAAAGAAAACGAACATCAATCTTACATATTATGTTTTTGTAAGCAGCACCAGTTCAATTCGAGCATCGACGCCGCTGCTTGACAGTGCCGTTAGCCTGTTGACCGTGACTTCTAAATTTGCATGCAATTATCGACACACCGCATTAGTTACACCTTATTATGAACGTTTGTATATGAGTCCTACTCTCCAAGGAAAGGCAAGAAATAAGAGTAAAATATGCTTGTAATTAAAATAATATTAGTTGGCGAGAATGAATAAATAGAATTTCCATATTAATCAGACTTTTCATCTCTTGGTAAATACAATCATTGGGCCTTACGAATCATGATATCCTTTAGTCCTTATAAATGCGCAGTCCAGCCCGATGCAATAGGCTTATTTGTAAAAAAAATACATACATATGTATACCTAATATCTTTTTTTACTATAGAGACAAGCACCTTTTTTTCAAAACCACCAGATTTTCAGTGTTACTAATAAAAACGCGTTTTTTAGTTTGTCTGTCTTCGATTTTCGTATAAAAATTGGTAGAGAGGAATTATATTATAAACAGGAATGAATATTTTTAATGTTAGGTACTACATAAAATATTAACAATCCACGATTGATAGACAGTTTACCTATATACATATTTTACTTTGGTCGTGATAATTGACACCAAATTAACTTAAATGGCTTAAGCTAACATTTTATTAAATTACTATCTTCGAAGATATCTAATTAGGTATCTAAATTAAATCTGATTAGGTAAATGGCCAACCCCGTTCAGTTAATTTTTGCGTTTTAGTGTCTGTATTTTTTTCTTACATACAAAACATCTCCCTGTATGACTGCTCTCTTCTGAGAAACATTTTACGTCTCGTGTAAAGGACTTCTAGTTTATAAATAAATGCATAATTAAGAAATAAAATAAAATTATGCAATTACTTTGGAATTTGTTAAACTAAATGATCTATAATTATTGTTGTTACTACTGATTTCTTCTTGAAGAATATAAAATAATACTTAATTTTTAGATATCATACCAATTAATTATAGACTGCTCAAAAAAAATTGCATCTCTTTAGATAAAATGTTTATTTTAAAATCTAAATTTTGGTCAACACACGTCTGCGTTATGATTGTACATAAGTTTTTTAATTTTCACAGCAAAAAAATATTACATGATATTAGGAGAAATATTTTAAAAATTTATGAATAAGTAAGTGTAGATTCTATATACTATAACGGCGACTAGATGTGTGCCACTGGTTTAACGGTGACAGGGCGAACCTGCTGCGTCATTGACACTCGATACATCATACATGCTGATTTCTTAAAGTTCATGTGAGGTCAGTCCTATAGAATCGCAATAATATAATAACTTGATGTCAATTAAAATCGATAAAATTGTTTTAAAATATCTTGGATAATAAAAAAAAATATTAATAACAAAATAAATCGTTAAAATATTTTTCATTAATATGAAATTTAATTTGAATTAAATAGAATAGTAAGTAATGTAATAATAGGTTAAGGAGGTTCATTAGCGTTCGGCAATTCGGCCAGGCGCGTAGCCAAGAGACGCACTGGCCCACTTCGATGGGCAGTATACCATGCGGGTTGCTCCAGGTACCTACTTCTTTAATAGCAGAGTAGACCGCTGGAGCAACTTGGTTATTATGGTTTGCCTTGGCCGGTCTGTCGTCGGGGCGTCGTGGTGGAGTACGTAAACGATCCTGCGACGCCTTATTAAGACAGGGGGAGGCTCCGTTGGATTTTAGTAAGTAGTACTGTCTTAGCCGGTGATTCCGACATTATCACCTGTATGTATGTAGGTGGTATGAGTAAATGCATTTCCAAAATTTTGAAAAATCGGATAGAGTACCAAAGCTTGTTATAGGTAACTCTTTTGAGGCTTGAGGTTCATAAATATATATATTTTTTAGATATTTTATTTCATTGTTTTCTTTAATTACAACGGTTTTTTCGCCACATAATCCGAGATAACATCATCTAGGTAAATTAATTTACTTTAGCTATTCAAAATATTAAGTAAGTCAATAAAATATAATAAATATTTTCTATATTATTATTTTATGAATAAATGAATAATCTACTACTAATGAACTTTCTCTCTTAGGCCAATACATGTAAACATGCCTATCGCGACGTAAGATCTCAGAATTGAAGAGTGCGGGCATCGACACGAACTGGGGAAACTGGTTTTAGATATAGGTCAAAATGTCGTACATTGGCCGCGAGTCTTCGTAGAATACTTGTACACCTGTTCAGCGCAAAAAACCTTCACCTGACTTAATAAGTTGATAACACCACGTGAATGATGCGAATCAGAAAGTTTACACTGCATTTGAACTGTAGCCTTGTTCCGAATATTAATATACCTATGATAATCTTAACTTTCAATAATTATAGCCAATGAAGTTCATTCGCAATATAGACTTATTTCGTGGTTTGCTGGCATGGTCGACTAAACTTACTATACTTGACCAAAAGAAAGAGTTTAATACAATCTTTCGTATTAAAAAGCTTTAGAAAATTATTAAAAGTTCTCTTTTAGAAAGACTCACCTAAACAATATTACCCATTATACGATCGAGATGTTTTACTGGAATTAATTTTACTATTTTCACTGAATAGATCGCGCACAAATAGATCTACAACATCAAATTGTGATTGATTTTTTCTATTTCGTAACCCAAAATCTCAACTTCTATCTAAATAGCTCTACCATGTCTTATGTATTTTAATGAAATTAATACAAAAATAAGCATAAAATAATATTTAAAAACGTCATATAAATAATAAAAGACCTTAGTTTTTTATTCCACAGGAACCCTTTAATTTTCCGGGATGAAAAGTATCTAAAATGTTAAGCAGGGGTATAAGGTTACCACCATGCACAATTTAGTTAAAACAGTCCAAAAGTTTTGGAGATTAGCCCGTACAAACTGACAACCAGACAATCAAACAGAGAAACGAAAAAATTTGAAAAAAATCTGGATTTGTTATATTTCTCTTCTTACATCCTCCTGACTCGGTTTTTTGTAAACATTTTTTCTATGTACAGACATTCGACCTCTACAGTTTTATTATATGTATAGAGTATAGATTAAATTATACTTCTCTAAGTTAGTGTTCTTTTTTAATAACTATTTCTTTAACAAGCAATTGATATTACAGATGTAAACAAACCTGTTAACCGTTTGAAACATAAGCAACGCATTAGTTTCAAAGGGCATAACTACAGTAAGTCTAAGAACTACTTTCCGAACGGAGAGAGCCGTGGGAGTGATCTACAATGAATCTTCCGCTTTTTCGACTCCATTCACGGCTCATGTGAAGTGATTTCTCGACGAAGAAAGTAAAAGTGGGTCAGCAAAAGCGGTGTCTTCGTGCGGAAATCGTGGAGTGAACACGATAAGATTATGGCGCTTCTCGTAATACTCCCGTAATCTATACTAATATTATAAAAAGGTAACGTTTGTGAGATTGTGAGTTTGTGACATTGTAGGGGGTAATCTCTGGATCTACTGAACCGATTTAGATATTTGGTAAGAAGATAGTTTGACTCTGGGAATGACATAGGATTTCGACTTTTTATCCCGGAAATCAAACCTTAAGGCGGTGAAAATGGGAATTACAGTTTGTATTGGGAAGCAAACTAGGGACGAACCTGAGCGAAGCGAGGATGAGTCTCTAGTGAGTGATAAATGTAGCATTTCAAAATTATTGTTTCTTTCTATTTTTTACAAAAATGAATTTATAAATTTTTAAGGTATTATTTTATTCACACTTTCAAATTCAATTTCTATTAGTGTTTATCTTCTTAATATATAATCCCATCAAAAACATACTGTAAAAAAATGCAAGTCTCGCAACACATTTCTTCTACCGTAAAAAGCTAAGAGATATAATGTAAAACCAAGTCGGTTAATTTATTCATTACCTATCTATGGAAGCATCTATCCGACAACTTTGTCATAAATCGTTACCGAATTAGTTAAGTTACAACATTTTATAGTGACCGTATTAATATTAGATTTATTTATGTCTTTAATTAATCGAATCGAAATTAGGTTAGTAATTACAAGGGAACATAGGATCGGACATACATACATACCTACAGGTAAAACACTAACCTAACCTCCTTTTACAGTGCAACTATTGTATAATTAATTAGTTTACTATTAATTATAAATTTTTAGGCTTGTATTTTACAACGAATTCTTTTACTTCTATGATTTGGTGTGAGTTTAATGCTGATGGAATGGCCTCTATTCTATCGTAGAACGATTTGAACGTAGAGACCGGTTTGTGTAGCTCCTGGATATCAGGGATTCCCGGGAGGCTACACATGACTGCTTTTGCTGGTGTTTGCGCATATTTTTTTAAAAAAACTGAGATTAGACACACAACTGAGAGCGGCTCTCGCTACGGTTTTGTACCGAGGTAATAAGGCAGACATGCAAACCCCCATTTAGTTATTTTTTACATTTTAGTGCCTGGAAGTCGGTTTTTTTTAAGTTTTTATTTTTATGTTTTTAGTGTAGACGTAATAAGCAGGTAATTTGTAGGAAGAAAGTTTTTAATAACATATTCGATTAAACAATTTGTTTCCAAAAAATATTTATAGTTGATTTTTTTTAAAACCGCTCAACCGATTTCGATAAAATTTATATGGAACCACCTGGGAAGTATACCCTTTCAAACAAAGTAAAAATTTTCCAAATCGGTTCAGGCGTCTTAAGAGTAATCGGTGAACATACATAAAAAAAAGATTCCGACGAATTGAGAACCTCCTCGTTTTTGGATGTCGGTTAAAAATCTTATTCAAATAGTCATTATTATCGATACAGAGACCGAATCTATAGTTTTTAATTTTTTTGTCTATCTGTCTGTTACCGCATCACGAGAAAACTATTGGGCAGATTTTGATGAAATTTGGTATGATGATAGCTTGTCATCGGGGTCAACATAAAGGATACTTTTTACTGCGGGTAAATATCTAATTTCTGAAAAATCTATACTAAACCTTAAAACATAACTAGGGAAGAAGCCGAGTGGAGCGAGGGTGAGTGTTATATAAAACATATTTGAACCTACCACAAAAGGGTATTCCATCAGGTGTCCACTTGCCATTACTTTCACAAATTCTTCTAGAAGGTCCAAGGAGCTCGAAGCCTCGCTCGCAAGTATATGTAGCGACAGTTCCTTCTCTCAGATTTTCATCGGAAAAAGTGACACGTGAGTGTGCTGGAGCGCCGGGAAACCGGCATGATGCTGCCGCATATCCTGAAACAGATATGTCTTTTAATTTTCTATTTAAATGGTTAAAAATATTGTATATTCTATATATAACTCATTAAAATATACCTTCAATTAAAACGGATATATTGACAAAAAGTCAAAATTGTCAACATTTTTCTGTTATGATATTAGGTTTGCTGTCATAAGATTCAAATAGTCGTGAGTGACAAATTATCCTATAATTTTAATATTATATGTGTATTTGCACGCAATATAAACATGAACATGATACAAGTTTCTCCAAAAATAATAGATAAAAATGGGCACGATGAATATGAATTTCGTGCGCCTTTATTGACACTGCGAATGATAACATTGATGATAGTAGTAGTATTGCTAACTTTACACGTTAGGTCTATGCGGGTGTTTCGTTGGGAGCATTCGGTTACAGGAGGCATATTAGTGACTTACACCATGTCAATGCTGGGCTTGGCGTTATGCGCTGGAACTCAACATTGCGGCGGTTTAGCTCTACAGGTGAGTAAAATATTAAGCTCTTGTTCTACAGATTTATCAGTAATCTGGTTTATGTTAATACAATTAGGTAATAGTGGTAATGTGTTTATAATCTTCGTGTGTAGAATCTATCTAATCAATATTTATAAATATTGCTCAGTATGTTTAAACACATCCATACACTTTATCCATACTTAATATTATAAATGTGAAAGTGTGTTTGTTTGTACTTCTTTCACGTCGAAACGGAGCAACGGATTGGTGTGATTTTTTGTGTGAAGACAGTTGGAGGGCTGGAGAGTGAAATAGGCTACTTTTTGCCGCGGACTATTATCTAATTCTCACAGGAAAACACGTTATAATACAACCCAAAAAAATATTTATGATCAGAATTACTTGAAACTTGGTATTATTGCTCTTCAATACTTTTAAATAAATAAGTGTTTTAGCATTTTTCGAAATTCATTTTATAAGAGGGTAAAATAGGGGGTGAAAGTTTCTGTGAAACTACCTTTTTAGACACTCTTTTGTAGTTTTAGCGCGAGCGAGTTCTGTATTATAGTTAGTAATATACAATTATGCAAGTTATTAGGAAATATATTTGTTTTGTTCCAGTCATACTTAACAGGCGTGGGCTCTGTACTCATGGCAGTGAATGCAGCAGTGATCTGGCAGCGATGGCACCGAGCTGGGGAGCTTACGCGCGTAGTAGTAGAGCTGCTGGCCACGCTCGGGTTACGTCTCAAGCGACAGATCATCACTAAAGTTACTCTCAGCGCCGTTGCCGCCTTGGCACTTCTTGTGGATCTCATAGTAACACCATTTTTATTGCCAAAGTGATTGATAAACAAGTTCTGTATTTACTATTTATATTATTAATTTTATAATTGTTATTAGTATTCAGAGCATTTTATTTTGTAATTAATAATAAAATAATTTTTAATTTTCTATCATATTTTGACTAGGTATGATGACATTATGCAGTTGTTTTCCTATTTACATCTTATTCCATTCCATTCGTAGCATATTATTTGAAGGTTATATTTTGTACTTCTTTATCCACTACTAGCGACTCACCTTCGCTTCGCTCAGGTTCGCCTAGGTTGCTTACCCATACAAACTTTCATTCCCATTTTCACACCTTAAAGGATAATTTTCGGGATGAAAAGTCAAGATTCTATGTCGTTCCCAGGGTCTCAAACTATCTTTTTACGAAATTTCATCTAAATCGGTTCAGTAATATCGGAGCCTATTCGGTACAAACAAACAAATAAATCTTTCCTCTTTATAATATTAGTATAGATAATAATATATAACAACTCGCCTACTTCTCAACTACCAAAATGAATCCAATAACTCCTTCCTTCTCATGTGTGGTGCATCTCAACACATCGCACCAAAAGACTGTAGTTCCGCCTCTTAATAAACCAGAACCTAAATGAGCTCAATCGGTGACGACATACTCGTATGCAGAGAAATGACTGTCTTCAGTTCCGTTGCAAAATAAGCAAGAGGAAAGTCGTGACTCAAGCACGGTATGACGAATTTTTAACGCGTCATCGACGTTTGAGTTTCCGTGAAACAACCAATTTGAAATGTTTCAAGATTAAAACTAATCCGTGAAAAGCAGGCGAAAGCGCGAACGAAGTAATAAGCCAACCACAAATTATTGTTTTTATTTCTATATTTTTATTACAAGTTATATGAGTTTCTATATTGCATTAGTTTTAAATTAAATATAGAATTATAACACATTTTTATCTTATGTTTAATTGGAGTTATTTATTTGATATCAATACATCTACATATTCTTTGCCTTTTTGTCTAGGCTAGGCCTTCCTTCGTCCAGCAGAGGTTGGTGAAAGGCCTGATGTATTAATCATTAAGACATTCTATCCTAATCAAAATAATTTTAATCATTGTTATAGTTATCTATTTTGTTATAAACATAGAAGCTGTATTCACGTAGCTAGGTCGTGGGGCAAATGTCAGTGAAAGTTTGAACAATAATATGCGATACTATAAACGTGCATGACTCTACAACATGACAAGAGTCTTTGGCTTTTCAAAAATTAAATAAATACCATACCACAAAATCTGTATAAGTTTCAAAAAAGTTAAGATATCGTACCTACTGGTTTGATTTGGCGAAAACTGACGCGATTTTTTTTCTAAAAAGATATAAAAAGTTAATTTATTATAGTTATATGAGCTAGTTATAGTTATAGCAGAAATTGATATAGGTAATTAGCCCACAAAGAACATTATAAGATGTATACACCATGGTATACCATGGAATAGTACCAGCCGTTTGTTTCGCCGCAAACAGACGGCGATTACTTAGACTAAGAAAGCGTGGTGACCCGACATCGCTTGGAGGCAGTTTTGCGGGAGTTATAGCAGCAAATTAATATTTTTTTTCTCATTTTAAATAGCAAGGCCACAAACTACATATACTTTGGGGTGTGATTACCGCACTTATTCTACTTATCACAATAGAGATAATTTTGTAGCATCGAGCCTTAAATTTGTATTTAACTAGCGACTTACCCTCGCTCGGGTGCGTCCCTAGGTACATTTTGAATAGATATAAATAGTTATTGTGAGTGTACCTTAAGAGAAAGACTTATGATTTTATAGATATCTTTATTTTACAGATTTTTCTATAGGGCTTGTTAAAACGATCAATTTTCTAGTTCATTGTTTTGATGTATCTCTTAAGGCTTAGCGAGCGTTAGACACGTAAATTTCTAAGGACAACTCGATAGAACCAGTTTTATGTTTTCCCTTAGGAATGAAAGATTTTCCTGTAAGAAAAGCTACCTTAAATATACGCATACACGCATACAGACAGACAAAAATTTTAAGAACTATTGTTTTGGGGTCTATATTCTGTACATAATACGTTACAGTTACTGTTTTTATAAAAAATATTTCATGTATAGATTTTATTATACTATTTATTATTTGTATAGATGTTTTGACAACCAACATTTTATTATTCCCTACTAATAATAAAAGTGTAAAAGTATGTTTGTGGTCTGTCCTTCTATCACGCAACAACAGAATATGAGATCGACTTTATTGGATAGAGTTTATGGGCACGAAGTGACATCAGCTGTTTTTATCCCGTTATTAATGTATAACACATCTAAGATATTCGTCTTCTATATAAATATATAATATATCTTAGGGATCTATTTAGTTATTTAATAATCCATATTAATATTATAAAGAGAAAATATAAAATTTGCGAGTATGTTTTATAGGAGGTAATCTCCGAATTGGGTATCGATTTCATTGATGGACTATCCGACACTTAATCCGTAAATTCCTCGAAACTTTTGATCTGGTACCTTTCGAAACCTAAATGTGGTGTCCATCACAGGAAAAAATCACAGCCTTTAAAGAATACTCGGTGTAAGGTGCTAAAGCAATAATATTTAACGAAAGTTATCAAAGGGATCGCTACCTACTTAATAAATTTACTTAATACTTTTGAAGGTTTCATACGTTTTAGTAAGTACTAATTGTTAGCTACCAATAGAAAAGACAAAAGTATGTACAGTAAAAAGTACCAAATGAAAGTTTACGTTGTAAAATCACTAATGTATCATTAACTAATTATTTAAATCTATTTAAAGCGCATTTTTTATTTAAATTTTGAATTATTTATGTTATAACTTTGTTTCTTTGCATAAATATAACTCAAATTATTATAAAGTTTATTAAAATAATATATTCATTATAAAACTTATTAAAATTATAAAAAAATAATTAAAATTAACAAATATTGTAAGGTACTCTGGTGCCATTTTTGTATTTTTGAATTCGTTTATTATTTTTGAGGGTAGGCACTGTCTATAACAACTATGTAATGACCTTTAAGACGTCTAAAACCTTAGCCCTCCGGTGACCATGATTGCTGTAAAGCATTCGAACCGTCGCCTCGGGAACCAAAAATTAAAATAAATCCGCGAAAAAATCCGAAAAGATAGTTTTACTTAAAATTCCTAATATACACGTTAATTTGAGAAAGTAAATCTAAAAACAACAGTAACGGAACTATATAACGATTTATATGAATGCCTGCGTCATTTATTGAGAAAGTTGAAACATTTAAATAATACTCCTTCATCGATTTCAGCCATGACAGGAGAACACAAAGGACTGAAAATTTTTACCCAATCATAAATTTACTTTTACGTAAATGGAGTAAAAGGTATACCTTTGCTCCCAAAGTTCGATGGAACGATAATTAGACACGACCCGTGAGAGGACAGGTACATAGTTTTGCGAGGTGTATCACTAATTCCTCAATTCCGCGGTGCTTCTTAGAAATTCTCAAAAGAAAATGCCAATCACTATGTATGACCTAATGACTAAAAACCAAAATTTATAGTGTAATTAAAATTTATTTTAAAATATATACGAAAATAACATTAAACTTTAATTAATAGTATAAAAAATGTTTTAAAAGACAAAAAAATCGAAAGTGCATCATATTACAAGAATAATCAGAGATATAT